AAGGGTTAAAATTAAAATTACTTAGGCTAAAAGAAGCCTAATTAAACCCTTTAGGGTTTAGGGATTATAATTCCTCCTAAATAGATTCTTTATAATAACTTAGTTCCTTTACTAGATAATCCTTACCCTTAAGACCTTAGATTCCCCGCTAGAACTTAATAATATAATACTCCTTAATTAAGTTCTTAGTTTTTTATAACCGCGATAGGCAACCCGCGGCTAATATTATCTTTGCCTATAATTTTATTAATTCCTCGTAAAGTTATAATAAGTTAATATTAGCCTTTTTTTTATCTTCTTTTAGTTTTTTCTCTTATAAGATTAAGCGATATATTATTCTATATATTAATAAAAAAACTATAAAAAGGGCTACTTAAAGGAAAGAGCTTAATACTTATAAGAATTTATAACTTATATTTTATTATAAGAATAGCCCCGCTATATATATTTATTATATTATAAAGAACCTTTTATTATTAAATATTCCTTTTAGTACTTAAAATAATATAAATATAATATATCTATAAATTCATATAATAATTTAATACTCGCGGCTAGAAATTAATATTCTTTAGTTTTGCGATTTAGATATTTAGAAATATAGCTAGATATTTTATTAATATAATATCCCGAAATAATTATAGGTTTAAGTTATATTAATAGGTAAGGGAATAAGAAATAGCTATTTAAATAGCCTTATAGATAAAGCCTTAGAAAGAGAGATATTATATTATAACCTAATATATACCTAACCTCTATAATATATATAACCGCCTTATACCTAGGTATTAGTATTAATTAGAAAAGGATTACTACTAAAGTTAGATTACTATAATCTTAGGATTACTATAATCTAAGGATTATAGCGATCCTAAGATAATTATAATCCCTTTATAGCTAGCTTAATATATAATATATACCTATATATACTTTCCTATATAATAGCTACCTTAGCTATTAATATAACTTAGTTATATTTAATACCTTTAAGTATATTATTAGATATAATATTATATTACCCTTTAAGGCTATATAATATAATCTAGTGCTAATATAAACTAATATAACCGGTTTATCCCTTAGGAAATACCCTCTTGTTATAATAAAGATCCTAGAGTATAATAAATAACTTCTAGATAATAAAAAGATAGATAAATAATAAATACTAGAGGAGTTATAATATAACCTTATATGCAAAATATATAGCTATTAGTTATATAAATACTAAGGAATTAATAAAACCCTAGAATAAATTAAGATAATATATACCTTTCTTAATATAAAAAAAACTATTTTAATAATTATTAATTAATATAACCTTTACGCAAAGACTAAGGCATAATGCTATAAACCCTATAGCAAATTATAACCCCTACTAATACCTTAGCTACTATAGGAAGCTATTATAATAGACTTTATTATGAAATTACCCCTATTAAAAGAACTAATTACTAAGAACTTCTATAATAATATTCTTATTATTATAAATAGACTTATAAAATTTTCCTATTTTATACCCTATAGAGAATTAATAATAGCTAAAGAATTTATTTACCTCTTTTATTTTTATATCACTAAGATATATAATATATTACTTAAAATTATTATAGATAAAGGACTATTATTTGCTTTAAAGTTCTAATAAAGCCTTATAAGATACTTAAGAATTAATTATAAGCTCTCTATAGTATATTATAAGGAGATAAATAATTAAATAGAATATATAAATTAAATATTAGAATAATACCTTTAATATTATATTAATTATAAATAAATTAACTAAGTTAAGAAATTACTAGCCGCTTAGCTAGCCTATAATATAGTTATAAATAAAAGCATAAAGACTATATTAATATATATTAACTTTAGATTTATTTTAGATACTTATTAATAATTATAAGATATTATTATTAACCCTAAAGTAATCCTTATTAATAATTAATTATATAATCTATATAAAGAAATATAAATAGAACTTAAGTTTATTAAGAATAAAATAATAACCTATATTAATAAGAAAAGGATTAAAAGACTAATTTTCTTAGAGAGAGATATAATCTATTTTATAATAAAAAATATTAAAATAAAATAATAAAATAAAAAACTTAATTATAAATATATTAGACCCTATAAAATTAAATAAAAAATCTTAAAATATAACTATAAATTAGACTTATTATCTAAGGTTAAGCTTTATTTAATCTTTTATATTTTATTACTTAAATTAATATAAAATATTATCTAAGTAAAAATAAATAATAAACCTAATATAGAAGTTAATAAATTAAAAAAATATATTATAGAAATTATCCTTAATATAAATAAAATTAATAATAAAATAATATATTTTATTAAATAAAAAAATTACCTTAACTTAAAAAATATATAAAAACCCCTAGAATACCTTACTAATATATAGCGCCTTTTAAAGAACTTCTATTAATAACGCTAAATAAAAACAAAGCGGACTTAGGAATAATACTCTAATTAATAACCCTATAATCTTCTAGTAATTAAACCTTAGATAGGGCCTAAGCTTCTAAATCACGGCGAGCCTCTTTATCGCAATACTCTGCCTTATCTAGCTTATCTAAGTCCTTATAATCGCAATAGATTATCTTAATAGCTTTCTTATAAAGATATTTCTCTTAATAATAAAGTTACTATAAGCGAGATAAAGCCTCTAGAAGGTTTACCTTAGCCTTCTCTTTTTATTCTTTAAGATAATCTTTCTCCTAAGAAACATAGGTAATTAGAATATATTAATATATACCTACTACCGAGGAAAAATAACCTATAGGCTTATAAAGAAATACCACTAAAATTATAATTTATATATTTCTTCTCGATATAAAAGTTATAATATTATTTCCCTTTAGCTATTATATATAGATAGCGGTTAATATAGAAGTATACGGAATACTAAGGTATCTCGAAACTAAATTTATTAATTAAATAAGAAAGGTTACTATAGCGCATAGTAGTAAGTTTTAGGCGAAAAGATGATTTTTTAATATAACTTAATATTACATTAATAAGAGGGAATAATTATAAGTCTAAGTTACTTATAGCGATATTTGGTCTCTAAAGCTAGCCTTAGGGATAAGACTAATAAAGAGAGAGCCTTATATTATAGCTATAATATAATTAAGGGCAGTAATACTAAGTAGAAAATTAACCCTATTATATTAGCTAATTATAAGGTAAGAAGATATATAAGTTAAATAAAATTAATTTAATTTCTCTTAATTATATATATTAAATACTAATAACTCGACTCGACTTAATTATATTTAACTTAAAGACTAGATAATATATAAAATATACTTATTATATTTTCTTATATAGTAATTACCTTAGCTATTAATATAACTTAGTTATACTTAATACCTTAAGTATATTACTAGATGTGATATTATATTACCTTTTAAGGCTACGTAATATTCTCCTCTGCTAATATAAACCTAGTACGACCGGTTTATCCCTTGGGAAATATCCTCTCGTCACACATGGTATAGTTCGCATGATGAAAGCCTCACCCTTCGCTGAGGACCAACAGTTTCTGTGCCACTGCTATCGGCTCGGTAGCGAACCCGGTCCCAAAGATCCGAAGACCCAGCGCAAACCGTTCTAAAAAGTCAAGCCAGTCATTCCTTCAGCAGCCTTCCACAACCTATCGGCAACCTCTACATCCTGCACATGGGTAGATACTATCTCGGCCATCTGGCAATCATCGACATATGCGCCGTTATGGCCTATAATAAGAGTCAGCTTCCTAGCCAGCTACTATATGCAGTATAAGAGGCCTACCTTGAAGAGCGGGATCCAGGGCAGCAACCAGAAAGCTGGCTGCACCTTGAGAGGCAGACTTGTACTCCATGTTCGGGTTGCGGAATCCCTTTATATGCCTCTGCAGCTCTGTCACGACGACTAGCAGGTGGTCAGTGTCGATATTTCAAATGGAGCATTTCTCACATACCTCCTGGGGCTGCGCTGATAGCTGCGACACCTTTGCTCCCGAATCTTTCCTTGAGGCCAACGGAAAATAGCATGGATGCGGCGTTGGAGTGTAGATACGCTAGCATGCCATTGTACTCTCTAGCGTTTGCTAGCGAGCCAAGCCCCAAGTTCTGCACCATGTTCATGTTTGGCTCTTCCTCTGCTGGCAATTCCTTGTCGCCATCCCAGTTAAGATCATGGAATCGAATTGGGCAAACCATGTACCCTCCCGATGTGATGTTGACAACTCTTCCACCGCTGGTCAACTTTGGCATGAGGAAGTTGGTAAAGAGCCAATGGCCAAGGAAGTTGGTGCCAAAATGCATTTCATATCCATCTGTTGACAAGGTGCGGTCGGGCAAGGCCATAACTCCAGCATTGTTGATCAAGATGTCGATGTGCTGGTGTTGTTGAAGAGCTTCGGCTGCAGCTTGCACGGAAGCGATGGAAGACAGATCCATCTGCACAATTTCAATCAATGGAGGATCAGCCATGCCACTTTTGATGGTTTGGACAACGGATTCAGCCTTGGCAATAGACCGTGCTGTGAAGATTAACTTTGCGGGCTTCTTTGTTGAAAGGGCCTGTGCCATCGCCTCGCCGAGGCCATTGGGCGAGACTCCGGTGATTAGGACTGAGCATGTAAGCGTATTCCTGAACTTTGCCTCTACTCTAGATAATACTTACTCGTCTTGCCGACAACATTCTCGGAAAAGACTTCAACCACCTCTTCACATGTGGTCGTTTTGTTGAACTTGAGGTGTGTAGTCATTGTAGAACGGGTCTCAATTGTTTACCGGGCTCAGATAGCATCACCATCCCTAGGCCTTACGAGTGAGCGTATTTATTACTCCCATATCTCAAGAGTTGTATGATATGCATGAGCCCTGGATTTAAGACTCTAGACTCGGAGACGGTTCGATAAGCCCGCCAAGACGCATAAGCGCAAGTCAGCTTCGAACTAGACAGCATCTTGATACTACACTATTTCTTCTAGCAAGCATACTGGAGTCCTGATTTCGGACATAAGGGTGAAGCTCCGAATAATAGTGGCTTTGGTCGCCGCCTGCATTATCTCCGATGATCAACGGTTCAATAGTGTTTGCCTACCGGCACAAGAACTTACACGAGGAGAATGGAGCTGGTAGAACAGTTGGTGTCATTGATAGGCCAAGAGTCGACAATGGATAGTAAAGCCATGAAAGAGAGGCTTATGGGGCTTATGTGGTATGTTTTAACGTTACTTCATTTCTCATTGCCCACTCGGCTGAAGCAGGCAGTGCATCCCTTGCCCTGGCTTCGATGAGAGTTATTGGTCGTTAATGTGTCATGTGATGAGAATGTGCTGCGTTCGCGTCCTCTAGTCTTCTTCACTGCGATCTTAAACCCCCTCGAGGGACTGCGAGTTTGTGGGTACGGGCTGATGACCAAGAATCCACAGATGATGGGGGCTTGTGGTCTACACGAGTCAAGTATCTAGAGACGTCTAAGAATATATCCACCCATTTCTTGGACGCTCAACTATTGAGTGAGGTCCAGCTGACCCTCAGCAAAACATTCCAGAGATTTCTTGCTTGCCGGTCTGTTGTCCATTCGCTCCCACCAGGCAGTCAAATTCTTCCGTCCAGGGTCGCTCAGAAAGGGCACCGGAACACACATGGGCTTCATAAGTCCGTAAAAGTGGATGTCTGCTGCAGAAAAGCGATCGCCGCAGAGCCACTTCTTATCCTCCAGCTCATCATCCAATCGATTCAGCGCTTGGCAGATGTTGACCTTTTGCCATAGTCTCGCTTCAGGGCAGGGGATCCGGTTTCCACGGTAAAAGTCGATGGTGTCAGGGTCGTTCCGGTAATAGCTGGTGACAGGCTCGCAAATCTCCAAGTCGGCGCGCCTCAGCCACATGCGTGTTTCAGCTCGTTCAAGAGCGGTCGTTCCAAATAGTGACTCGCCGCCGTTGGCAGTCTCGTCGAGGTACTCAGCAATTGCCGTTATTTCGGTAAGAACAAAGTCATCCGAGATGCGTAGTGCGGGTACCGTGCCACGAGAGTGGACGTTTTTTATATAAGCGGGCTTGCGATTCTCCATGGTCATGATATCGATATTCTTGACGTCAAGTGACACATGGCCGCGTTCCAAAATGAAGAGGCGCACGGCGCAGGTGTTTATGCCGAGGGAGTCGTAGAGAAGCATTGTTCTGAGCCTAGAAATCGAGATGAAGTGGTTATGACCCGGGACCTGAAAAGAAGTAATAGTTATACCGGGAAAAGTCACAGGCTTGTGGGCACGTCTGAATATTAAGTAGTTTTAAATTTATTGGTGGCGACGTTATGCTGCGTCACGATCCTGTACTGTCCGGGCTTTGACTCTTATCTCCGTCCCCGACGCCCTCTTCCCCGACATCCTAACTCCAGCTGCCCTATGCACCGCCGAACAGGAACTCGGCGGTAAAGGAACTACGGCAGCAGCTCTAATAATTAAGCATAAACTTTGTTGTAGATTATTGCAATCGAAACGATGTCCAATACGACCACAGGAATCCAAGCTCATCCACCTCCGACTCTGGCGCTAGCTTGCCCACGCGTTTAGCCAGCGGAAGCCAATCTTGCCAACTCCCGCCAGCTGACTCTGATATGACTGACTTGAGATAAGTTCGAAGTTCTGGTAGAAATGACATGTCACTGTTGGGTTGTGATGAACTCTCAGGCTCCGCACGTCGCTGCATACCGCCCTCGGCAATGGTATGGACGATGAATTTGGACAAAACACCATCATCCAGGTCATCTCGGAAGGTGCCGAGTCTCTTCACCGAGTATGCGGCTTGCTTCTCTTCCCCATCTTTTCCTGTAATCTCCTGCACAATCAACCCTTGCACCATGTTCCCCTTGGCAGTCCCGAAGAGAAGAAGGGGTGCAAAATAGATGGAGGAGGCGATGTCCTGTTTCGTGCCGAGTTCGTTGTCCAAAGAAAGTTTAGTGAGATAACATGAAAGGTATAGGCAGCCAGGATCTGCATCTACAACAACTGGGGATGTTGATAGTATGGCTTGGTTTTTGTCGTGGCTTTTGGTGCCTGTTCCAAACATGTGGGCAGGAATGAGGAGACACTCCAGATCGATAAAGCCAGATTGGATAGACCCAAAAAGATCTTCTCCCACCGGCACCATGGAAACGTTCTTGACCTGGGCCAAAGGTCGACCAGGCTTGAAATTCCAATCATCATGTGCTTCGGAGCGGGTATGGCACCAACGGGCGTGTGTGTCATACTCGACAGGGCCCAGCGCCGAGGCCCAGGACCACGACGGCGCCATCCACTTTCCCTCTGCTGAAGACTTAGTTGTTGGAGAAGCTGTGTCAAGCCTGTCCCAATGAAGGCCTGGTAGTAGTAACTCCTTCCACAGCCCAGCAGCATAATCTCCGGGTCCTCGCTGGGATAAGAGCTTAGCCACACCAGAGAAGGCCACAAGCCGATCTGACTCAAATGTCAAGTCCGTATGCGTGTACTTTTCTATCATACCGGGCCAGAGTTCCCGATGGAAGTAATCCGCCAGCATCTTCTTCGCTGGACGCATCCTTGAGCGGACGACACCTGTGCCGAAATTGTGACTTGGCAAACCGTCTGGGAACGCCTCAGAAGCACGAGGCTGATCACATTCCCAGTATAGTTGCTCATTACCAAGATAGACGATCCTCGACGACAAGATTCTTTCCTGGTAGACCCAGCCTCGACGATTGATGGGAGATTCCAGAACCGCCTTGTCCCACTCTTCCAAGTCTATCAAGAGGGCCTTCTCAGGATCCCCATGCTTCGTGTAAAAGTCATGAACAATTTCAGCATAGCTGCCATGCATGAGTTCATTGATCTCGGATTCTCGAAAACTCATGCGTCTCTTGGGAGTTGGTAGGCTTGTATAGGTGTCGCTGATTCCCTTTAGTCGTATATCGTTCATGTAGATATCCTTGGACGGGATCTCCACAGGAACAATGGCTTCAGGGTCTCTCTTGGGAAGGCAGCCATTGGCTGTACCGCCCCAGCAAATACTAAAAGTGACAATCGAGTTCATGTAGATCCCGGCCATCATTGCAGCCTCGTTCCGGAAGTCTTCGGGCGAGTCTTGAAAAATGCATAGGGAATCGATCCAGATGTACTGTATGTCCAGGGCTCGGCAGAGAAACATGGCATCTTGATAGTCCTGTGGAAGAGTAGAGTTTAGCTCGCCACCTTGAAGTTTGGCAAAGTTCTCTCGTTTCAGTTGCGGAACATGCTTGGTCCATCGGTGGCTTAGAGCTGCATAGGTTCGATATTTCTGTTCTCTGTTGGTGACCACCAGTGACCACTTAGAAGACCCTTGGCCATGCAAGTCAAGCAAGCGAGTGGGGATCTCCGCTTTTCCTTCTCCTAGCATAGACGTGCGTGATTGGCATCGTTCGTGGGCGTTTGAACACTGAGATATCCAAGACCGGATTTGATCAATATCCAAGCCAGACCCTAATGAATCGCAGCCTTTCTCAGTACTTCCGGTGGACTGGCTTTTGGAAGAAGTCTTGTACTGTGAGAAATAGGCGACTGGAAGCACAGTCACGATCTGCTCTGGATGAGACTCGTCCTTGCAGCGAATCTGGATGGAGCTGAGCGGAGGTTGATCTTGGTCCGGACGGAATGCACGCCATAGCTCTCCATAAGAAGAGAACCCGTCTCTCTCCTCTTTTCTCGGGACCGCTGAAGGCGATGATCGGAGGTGCCTCCAAAGCATCCAACAGATGGGGCAGGCAAGCTCAAGGGAAGAACACAGTGAATCCCAGGAGTCGTGCATCCGGAAGTGAATGATCAACTCCATGTCATTGAAGTGACTGTCAAGGATGCCCTGGCATATTTTGCAGAGTCCCATCTTGAGGAGTGTCGCCCATCAAACTCTTTGCGGCCTCTCAGCTGGTTGCTGGTTGTTGAATGAATATTAGCGCAGCTTGAGCACAGCGGAGACGTTGGCGGCTGACATGCATCGGACAGGGACTGCGTAAGCCAATGACAAGACGAGCGATTCCATGATCCCTTACGACCAGGTGGCCTCATGCCGATAGAGCCCTCGTCCCGTGGTCCCGCAGCTCCGTTCTTGGCTGTCAGAGTATGATGGACGATATTGACAGAACAAGCAATGAGCAGCCCGTTGTGGCTGGCGCACCTCCAGGCGAAGCCCAAAAGTCTACCAATGCCGAGACATTCGCGGGGCCCCCTGAAGCAATCTTCAGCTGGCCACCCAGCAGCTCCAGTCAGTGGGAATAGTGTCCCGAAAGAGGTTTGGGACACCGCTTAGAGAGTCTTGGACATTGATCTATGGCTTTTGACGATGCAAGGAAGATGGGTCTTTGGCATGAGTGAGAAACGATATATTTATCAGTTTGCATTGTTAAATTTTCTTTAGGCAATTTTTCCCTTCCTCTCTCATCTTTGTTTCCCAGCGAGCGATACACCATGGTCTACAGTCCAGCTACCAAGCATCCCAACGGCGCCCGCCTTCTCGCCCTCGATGGAGGTGGTGTCCGAGGTGTCATGGCCTTGGAAGTCCTCGCCGAGGTCATGGACCGGGTGAGAAGAAAGAAGGGCCTGACTGAGCCCTGCCGTCCCGCCGACTACTTTGAGCTTGCAGCTGGAACTAGCACGGGCGGCATCATCGGTATCATGCTCTTCCGACTTCGCATGACTGCCGAGGATGCTATCAAGCAGTACGACGTGATTGCGTCGCAAGTCTTCAGCCCAAAGGTCTACGGCTGGAACATTGGCTGGATGCCCACGTTTCTTTCTTCCACCATCAACAACAGCAAGACCCTCGTGCAGAGCAGCCGCTTCGATGATGCTTCGTTGAAGAAGGCTGTCGATGGCGTCGTTGAGAAGTTTGGCCTGGATGAGAACGACAGGACGCTCAAGGGCGATGCACCCCTGCAACATCCCGGGTCTGCCAGAATGTAAGTTGATCCCACCATGTATTACGAATTATCACATCTAAATAAGGGTTGTAGTTTCTGCTGCACAACTGCCCAGAACCGGGCCGAGACTGTGCTTCTTCGAACATACAAGGATAACAACATCTACTGTAGTTCCAAGACAAACGACACCATGGCTTTGAATCAAGACAAGGTGACAATCAGCCTTGCCACCCGCGCAACTTCTGCTGCACCCACCTACTTCCCCGAAGTCACCTTCCCCGAGGGTACTCCCAAGAGCAAGGACAATGAGCGGCTGGTCTTCTGGGATGGTGGCCTTCTCAACAACAACCCAATTGATCAACTGTGGTACTCAAGATACGAGCTCACTCAGCCCCACGAGCCACCACCCGCCATCTCCTGCGTCATCAGCCTAGGGACTGGTTATACAAAGCCTGACTCCCCTTCAGAATCATGGTTCCAGCTCGTTGGCGTGGCAGCCGAGGTCATGGAGTTCTCAACCAACACCAACGCAAAGGCTAAAGATTTTACCCGCCACATGACTACACTCAACCTGCGAGGCGAGCATAAGAACACCAAGTACGTCCGGCTTAACCCATCTCTTGGGAAGAGCGAGATTGGGCTCGCCGATTACACCAAGATGAAGGAGCTCAAGGCCATGGCTCAGAAGTATCTTACCGACAAGAGGAATCAGGAGTGGATCAACAAGGCCGTGGACGCCATCTGTGCTTGATTGAGTTGATGGGCTGTATTATTATCCCCTATATAGACAAGTAAAAGCGCATGTTTTCCTCGAATGGTTTTTTCGCTTGTCACACTCGCGCATTTCTGTTTTGAGCTGGAAGACCAGGACCAATACCAACAGGTAACCTCGATAATTCAAGCATGACCCCAATCGGTTCACTGTGAACACTTATAACGTGAGAGATACCTACCCATCTCGATCCTGACTTTCTTCTCGTCCCATACTCTAGCTCTCGGCAAAATGTTTCGCGTCATCGGGATAATGTTCTGCTTATACCACGGTTTGCGGTATTTGTTTGGCATTATCAGATTCACCCGCCTCTTTCTCTACGCTCTCTGGTGTTCTGCTCGCCCTTACCTCTTACCCACCATTCTCGTCCTGTTCTTGCCAATATTTACCAGGGGTGTGTATAGGGTTCTAATTAGCACCGACTTTTCTAATTAGGGGAACCGACTCTTAGTTCTCTTTAAAAAGAGCGTCCAGGGTGCTCGAGAATTGCAGTCAGCAAGCGCCCACGACGTTGGTCGTCCTTACCATCTCCCATGGCTTCCAGATCCGACAAACTGGTGAATAGAGTTGGGGACGGTGGGAAAGAACGACACCAGAGACTTGGGCGATTTAAACCTTCGAAATCAGAAAACGAACCAGGCCGCGCCAGGCAAGCCTTGGCATCATTGGGTATATGCCTCAAACAATCCCTTCCAGGACACACACCTCTTCTTGGATGAGTGAGGTAAAGCCTTTGATCAACTTGTACAATACCGATACGTTTTCCCGTCAGGCGGATCGGCCAGCTTCCACTACATCGCTTGCCCCTTGAATTTTCTTTGCAGCGGCTGCCACATTGCGGGCCCAGCCCTTGTGCACTTCACCACGGCACCCGAGAAGAATTCCAAAACTCCCAAAGTCTCTGGTAGCGAGGCCGTCACTTTTCGCATCATCAACTTGCCCTCGAAAACCCCGGTCGATGGCTCGGAGCATTCCCGAGCCATTTTAACCAGATGCGAGCCATTACAGACAATACGTCCCTTTGGACCACCTTTCCGATATATGATGAGAAGACATATATGCTCCAAGCACTAGCCAAGCGACGTGAGATTTCAGAGAAATCCTACCCGTGGACCTATGGGACTTTGGCAATGCTGACTCGATGGGCGAGCAAACTGTACACCCCAGAGTACTCTAAATATCTGGAGGAGATTCGAGTGCTGGTCACCTTTGTAACTTCTATTTTGACTCTCGGGGCTCAGATGTATTGGAAACAGTTTTCTCACTCATTTAATGGCGAACCGAATCAAGGGACATAGACGACAACGGAGAGGCATGCGCATTTGTTGAGACGTAAGATATTCGTGGCTATCTGTGCACTACACCCTAGACAAGAACTATATCACGATCATTTGTGGCCATGAGGAAATCAGCCTTTGTCTCTACACAGCCAACCCTCTGGAAAGTTCCTTCAGGGCCATCCCTAAGAACCAAGCCAAAAAGATGCCCGTCTTCAAGCTTGGGTGGCATTTTGCCCGGCACCCAGTCTCCAGAACCAGTGGTTTCAGCAAGGGGGAGCAGGTAAAAGTCGCCTTGGGTGATACTGTTGGCTTCATCTGGGAAAACCTGTACAGTGACGCGGTCGCGTTGACCTGAGCTCTCAGCACAAATATGCATCCGCCATTCGTCCGTGTCATCAAACAGGTGTCGTCTCTGCCGGCTTTTTGGCCGGCTCCTCAAACCTTCAGTCACGGTGACTTTATTCACGTAGTCATCTTCTTTACCTCTCAGATACACATATCCGGGAAGTAAACCACCAGAGAGGGTAAGTTTAACGTTGGAAACGTTGCCTGACTGACTCGGCCCGAGAGTATTCGATGTGAGGCCTCGTACTTGGACGCGTGGTATGATGGACATGGCCTCGAAAAAGCCAAATCGTCTTCTGCTGGTTCTTGGGGTTTTGTTAGTGTAGCACAAACTTGCCCAAGACCATGTTGGTGCGCCGCATCCCTTCGAACGAACGGGCAAATGATACATGGGTTCATTGGAAAGCCCCCACCAGAGACATTGGATGATATTGCTTTTCCAGATCCCCGCCACATACTCATCGTCGAGGATCTGTGACAGTCTCACTGCCAATGCAGATATTGCGTGAAGTCGATCAGTCTCCATTGTAAGGTCTCGGGAACAGTATTCGGTGAGAACAGTGAACCACAGACGAAAAATATCGGCACGTTCTACCTCATCTTTGACGCACAAGGCATGTGTTAGCTCAGGAGGGAATAGATATTTTGCCCAAAGGCTTAGATCATCCACATACCCAACTTGCGGCCATCAGAGACTTCCTTGTATCGGGCTCGGAGAAGCCCTCCCATGGTGCTCAATGAAGCATCTCTAGAGACAATCGTTGCTATGTCGGTCTCGAGCTGGCTGGAGCTTGTCCCTGAGTCTTTCGTAACACCTCGGGGGCAGCTCTCAGAGGCACTCATCGTCGCGCATTCGAAAGAAACCCAGTATGGGTCGAAAAAGAACGTCCTTCTTGGGAATATCCTCTCCTGTAGGATCCACCCTCGACTGTCAAGATGTGAAACAGGCGCTCGCAAAATCGGAGACAACTCCAAAACCACTTTTCGTCTTTTGATTGGAAGGTCAGGTGTATTTATGGTGACGGGAAGACGGAAGGGTCGATTAGCCTCACCATCACGCTCGGAAAAGAGCCCGGCGTCGGTGCTTTCGGTTGCTTCTGCGATGTTGACATCTGCATTTTGGTAATAGTCGGCCATCTTAGGTATCTCATGTGCTTTATCATTATCAAGATCTTGAACGATGCAAAGCGAGTCAATCCAGAGGTACCTCAGGCCAAGTTTCTGGGTCGTGATCGCGGCTTCTCGAAATGTCTTGGTGAGCGTACCAGCCGGGATACCGTCCTGGACGTATTTCTGTTCGGTCGAGGAATGCGTACAGCAGTTGTGGCCAGGCTTCCAACGATGACTGAGAGTCGCATAGGGCGGTCTCGCGTTGTGCAGATTGCTTTGGCTTGACAAGACTAGAAAAACTAGGCTAGATTGCCCCTCGACCTTGGACACATCAAGAAGGCGTTTTGGGTAGATGAAAGATGAGTCGGAAGCCTTCTTACCGCAGATCCGATGGTCTGTTTCGCACATTTTGATCCATGATCTCATCAACGCCATGCTAGCATCGCTTCCAGTAGAAGCGTCACTGCATCCAACCTCGAGTGCCGGATCGCCGTGCCCATGGTTGTCCGTTGGGGCTATCGTTTCTGCTTCGCCATGGAGCAATGAAGACCTGGAAATGGTATTCGGATTCCGGAGCTGGAAATAGAGGCCCATTTCCAGGAAGTCAATCAGAAGAAATGGGGGAGAATCGCCATGATCCAACCCGATCTCATCGTCGATGAAGAAGAAGTCGTCCGAGTCTTCGGCTTTATCCGCATACTGAAGTGCGAGGGAGATTTTCCGATTCGCATCCAAAACACCTTGTCCGCTAAGCTTAATCATGCGGTAAATGGCAAGGCACAGGCTACAGGCTCGCGCTTTCGCCAAGCGTTCCAGTGAAGAGAAATCCGAGTGCAGCACTGCTTCGAGCCTAAGCAGATTTTCACCTACCGGATCAAAGGTGACGTTTTGGCAAGTGTTGCAAAAAGTCATTGTGTGTCGTTTCTCAATTCGACCTTGTCTAAAAAGTGTGCATAATGTCGGCACCTGACGATGATGACCTTCGGCGCAAGCGAAACATTGCGAGAACGCCAAATTTATGTCCGACATGTTGAGCCGGATTTCAGGCCTCAACCCGCGAATGCCCGAGTGGCTTTGCGCTAATCGACGAATTAAGACGCTCCATCTATTTTTGAGATTTCCTCTGCATTGGCGAGGCACGCCCATTGGGTTCCTCTCATTGAGGGTTGTTCAGCTACTTGGCAACTGTTTCACATTAGCACACCGATGCAGGAAGCTGAACAGCAAGCAGGGGCGCAATATTGGATTGTATGGAGGTTCTAACCTTGTTAACAAAGTAAGAAAAACTGATGAGTTGCTGCAAAACGTAGCTGTTACATTTACGGGACCATTGTGAAGTCCAGAAAGTGGGTGGTCCGAGATGACTTGTAGAACGAGAACCCATTTCTTTACTTCACATCGTCTGCTGTTAGCCTCGGGTCCGGGTCTCTTTGTACGACCATAAATCCTCTGATTCAATGTGGAAGTTTCAAGCACAACCTCATCAACGTAGGTCTACTAGATACGTCTCTGTTTCCCTTCCTGAAACCTCATTTCCTCCGGACCAATCAACTCATCATCAACAGCACCCCTATTTTATCAAGGATTCGCATCCGAAACCTCCACCTCAAGCGTCTTGCCTGCAACAACAGGAGCCTCGGCCGCTACCATAACCGACACCGCCCGTGCCGTCTCATCAGTCGGGTTCTCCCAGCTGTGCATCCCTGCCTGGACCACGGCAACCTCGCCCTCCTTCAGCGTCGTCCTGGACCCATCATCGAGGTGAAGCACTAAAGTGCCCCGGTGCAGAAACACATAGTCGACGGTCAGGCTGCGGTGTAGAGGCGTCTTGGTCCGCGGAGGGAAATCAGCGGCGTTGAAGATTGTCCCTGGGGGAGACATGCCCCAGTTGTGCAGGCCCTTGTCGTTGTCTGAATCGACGTTGCCTGGATGCTCTGCCGTTGACCAGAGTTTGGCGATGTTGATGCCGAAACCAGCTGGCTGTGGTGGAATGGCGTCTAGGCGGGTGACAGTTGCTGTGCCGTCCGGATGGTGGCCTGTGACGACGCGAGTGATTGGAGAAGAGTCCATCTTGATGACTTGGGGTTGAGCAGACTTAGAGAACGAGGGGAGGATGTCAACTTTATGTAAGGAAAGCTGGGAATAACAGCGGGTGAGCGCTGACATGTTAAAGTCCGATAATTCCGACCGTCTGAAAACCGGGGGGCTTCAGGTGGATTCTCGGTTTGCTTGCCTAGTCAAAGGTACGGATCTAGGCCCTGAAACTACTGACGGTTGACCATTTAGAACGCTTAATGAATATGTCGTTTGATACCTCAGCAAGCCCTTTTAAATTTCCCGGTAGGAGGCACAATGAGTTCCGGTTTCTCTCCTTCCACATCATGGAGATAATTGTTTTGCATCAAGATGCCATCTCAACCTCTGTGTATCAGATAATCTTCAAAGTACGCAACTTCCACTCCCCAATAACCTCATGTTTATCAGGATATGTGACAAAGTAGCCAACTCGGCGATACACGTCCTCTCCTGGTACCTCTTCATGGTCCTTCTCAAGGATGATGCAATGCACCCTATCATTCTTCCACTCCTTCGAAGATGGTACCCAGGTGGTTGGTCTTCTCACCCACAAGATTAGATAATCCCTCTGTTCGTCTTTACCCAGAAACTTCTGGTACTGGCTCTCCAAGCCAAACAGAGGTCGATCTGGGCCGACACAGATCGTCGGGTCGCTTTCAGAGGCACGAGGGGTGTAGATATGAACGAGAACACCAGTCCTGCCTCCCGCCATTTCATGGTCGTCAAATGTGACTCGGCCAACATGATCGTCAGACTCAATCTTCTTCCCGTGTATCCTGCGGAGCTTCATGGTCAAGCCACGGAGGAAGAGATGTCCTTGCGTGACCTCGGCGAATGGGGCACGCTCATCTTTTGGCTTAACCTCAGCTTTCAAGATCTCAACATCATTTGGATCTGAGGCCTTGTCGTTTAATTCCCTCCGGAAATAGATAGGTCCGTTTCTGGAAGCCCATGACCATGATGGTGCACGATATGGCTGCACGTACTCGAGTCTCTTCCCCGTCTCATAGGCCCCCCAAAGCAAACCCTGTTTTATATCTCCAGCCCACAGCCCTGCAAGGTGATCATGTCCAATCAAAGGTTGCAAGCGCTGAGCCAACCCGGAAAAGGCGGGTAGCTTGTCGGTACTGAAGGTTAGTTTACGTCGTGAGTAAGAGCTGACGGTGGCGTAGTAGTTCCAAAGAAGCTTTCTTCGTATTTCTCCCTGTAAGGGAATCTGAGCCGTGCTGAAATCCTGGAGCAAGAATTCGGCAAGAGTGTTGACTCCTGCGCCCGACTTCGGGAACAGGTTTGGCCCAGGGACGCCATTTGCGGCTTGAAACCCTTCTCCGCATTCCCAGTAGATTTGTTTCGTACCGTAGTACAGAACTCGTCGTGAGAGAACTGATTCCTGGAAGCACCAGCCACGACTAGTCAACGGGGCGTTGTCAAACAAATCCCGGAGGTCCTCATCCTCATCCTTCTTATAGGCCTGAAGAGCCAAAACTGAATCACCAGGCCCAACAATGCGTACCGCATCAGGAGAGCTTGCCTGTTGCTTGCCTGCCCGAAGGATTCCATGTGAACTGCCAGGAGAACAAAGGGCGGCAATTGTTGCAACCGCGTTCTCGTACACAGCCGCCATTTTGGTCGACTCGATCGTCCAGTCATCGCTCGAATCTTGCATGATGCAAAGAGAGTCGATCCAAATATACCTAATTCCCAGACGCCTCGTGATGTTAATGGCGTCTTTGAAGTTAAGCGGAAGCTGATCGTATGGAAGAGCTTGACAAAAGTCCTTGATGTTTGTCGTCTGCAAGACCGTGGCGATTGGGCCTCCCCAACAATGACTGAGTGCGGTATAATCTCCCTTTGTGCCTTGTGATATGCAGAGCTTCGTTTTGTCGTTGCCTCTGCCAACGTCGATGACCCTCGTTGGTAATGGGAGGCCGTCCTTGTGAGATCCGCATGAACTCCCATGCTCATTGCGGCACTTTGATATCCAACCTTGTGCTATGGCGATATTCCACTTGGAATCGAGGATTGGGTCTGTCTCTTTGCGGCCAATCACGTAATTGCCGCAATAGACCGAGGTTCCTGGACAAGCTTAGAGATTGAGATGGTTCCGATAGAGAAAAGCTAAGAGGAGAAAGAATATGCACGGTATTGGCAGACTGGACGCACCTTGAGACGTGATAAGTAACTCTGCCGGGTGTAGATCTGGTTGCATGATCTCGTAGTCATCACCCCTATCTGACAAGGGATCATCAACTTCTTTAGGTGGGCCAACTTGGACAAGAAGTACTTCCAACATCTTGACAGCTGATAAGGGACTTTCCCAGGCGACGTGCATCGTGTTGATGCTTATCCGAATAGCTGTATCGTAGAAATCTGCCAGGCCCCGTGCGGTTGCCAGAACGGTGGAATCCTGAGATCGATCGAACCCTTCAAGCTCGAATTCAAAATGAGCATTGTCAGTAGTCAGCCCCAGGGCTTGAACTATGAGTTGACAGAGGTCGCAACCTTGCTCAGCAGAAGCATCAAGAGCGGCGATAGAAGGTTGGTGGCTGTAGTAGGCATTGTGAGGAACGACCATAGCCCCGAATTCAGCCTCTGCCAATTCTACTAGGCGCCCTATGGAGAGCTCTTGACAGAGTTTGCAGCGCATGCTGGGTGGTTAGGTGAGGTTTCATGTGGGTGAGGCAAATACAGCAAGGACTCAGGTCGCCATCTCACAGGTCGAAATGTTCACGTGATATCATGCAGCGCAGTGGAGGACACCAATTACAGGTACCTACTTCTAGTGATCTCACCATTTCTAGTTGATCAAGTATAGAAGGAACAAGTTTAGTTGCATTGATGAGAGTGTGGCGTGATCCAATATCTTCAGCGTTGAAAGCCATGCTTCAAGGCAGTTCGAGCTAAAAAACCACATTCAATAAACGTAGAAATTGGTGAGTTCCGGATGATCCCTTCGCATCTTCTTGTTCTGCCTTTGAAGTGTTATCCTCATGGCCCATGCAATGACAATGACTCCAATCGAAAAGGCAATGCTAGCCATCCATGCCTTCAGATATCGAGGACCATCTGACTTGGGCCAGATATAAGGCGTGTACACACTAGCCACGTTGCCAAAGGTATTGCAAATGGCAAGGGCCACTGACTTCTTCTCGTTTGTCTGACCCAAAGTTGCGCTGATCCAAGCGAGGAGAAGGTTGTTGATACCAAAGCTGAAGCCAACAAAGAGGAAAATGCCAAACATCCGCGCACCGAGGTTGTAGGTCGCGGCAGGAATAATAAAGCCAGCCATGACAATACACTTGCAGATAGTGATATGCCAGGTCCTTTCGTTCCATCGACCCGAGGTCCAGGCGATAACAATTCCAACCGTGGCTGCAAGGAGATATGGCGGGCATGTTAGGACCAGAGTGATAGTTCGGCTGTAGCCCAGGGTTTCCATGACAGTTGGGAGGAAATTCTGGAAGCCAACTGAAGACAAATGCAAGTTGTACATGAGGCACATTGCCCAGGTTCTCCAGTCAACAACAGCTTCACGCAGGCCAATCCAAACACTAGTTCCCTCCCGTGCGTCTGTCGTGTCGGTGAAGATTCGATTATGTGCCAGTTGTCTCTCTTCGTGCGATAGCCATCGGGTCGTCAAAGGATGATCTGGTAAAAAGGCAAAGGCCAACAAGGCTGTAACAATTGATAAAGCGCCCTGGATGATGAAGAGCCTATCGAGGATATTAGCCAGAAGTCGGAGGGAAAGGGATCAGCTACGTACCATTGCCAGCCCGCGAGACCCTTCACTTGATCAAGGCCCGCAAAGATGCCTGCTGCAATGAGGCCAGAGAAAGAGCTGGCAAACATGTTTCCAGTATAAAAAACTGCGAGCCGCACGGCAATTTCTTTTCGTGTGTAGAACATGCTTATCACGTAGAGGGCGCCTGGATAGAACTAATGGCAAGTTAGCTATCGCCGGATGAATGGTTCGAGTTACTTACAGGAGCCTCGGTGACGCCCAGAAAAAAGCGGAGGACGACCATGCTGCTATAGTCCTTGGCCAGGAAGGTCAGAAGACTGACGATGGACCAGGCCAAACAGAACCCGGCCATGTACCAAGAAGGCTTAACTCTGTTGATAACCATGTTGCTGGGGATCTGTCCTGCTCTAAGCGGCAAGGTTAGGTGATACGCGCAAAAAATGAAGTTCGCCGGCTGGGGACATACATGTAGCCAACAAACAAGATAGACACGCAGGTGTTGTATTGAGTGCCCTTCAGGCCGAGATCCTCTTCGAGATTGTTTAGCCTGGCATTGACCAGAGCATTTCGATCGAGATAGTTGAAGAGGTACATGAACCATAAGATGGGCTTTGAAATGGCATATCAGCAAGTCGTTTTAGCCAGAGACAGTGGGTGAGCGCTCACGATAATGTACCGGTCAAGCTTCTTGACGAGAGCTATTTCCCGAGGGTCTGTTTTGGAGTGTGCACCAAACTCGTCCACTTTGTCCATCCGGGGAAACTTGGCGAATAGTCCATCATCTTGGGCTGTTTCGATGCGTTCAATGTGGTTATCCTGAGCGACTTCATCTTGCCCTGTCTTGGTGCCGGCTGGGCCCGCTGCATTGGGAGGTGAGGTAGACATGACCAAGTCCGATGCTGAAAGAAACAGACGCAAAAGACAACTTCTTTTAGATCAAAGAAGCAGACACAACCATAGCAGCGGTCAACAGGTTATAAGTGCCGATGAATGGGCCTCGGTTGTGCTCTTGCAGGGTTCCCCAGAGGCATCAAGATGCGGGGGACCAATAGCTTAAAAACAAGGTTTACGAAGAATGATGTCGTTCCTGCACGTCAAAGCTCTGCTATTGGTGCTCTTATAGATAAAGTCGATGATCTTTCTCGGAAAAGCAGCTCGCAACTGCTGATCGGCGCATCTCCTACCACAACACGGCCATACCCCGCGTCTATTTCCATGGTGGTATCGGAAAAGGTCAACAGCGCTGCTTGGCGAGTGATCATCAACGTTACAGAGAGGAAGTCGCATGATAGATAAGGGGGTTTGATTAGAAATAAAAGGTCGAAGAGGGAGAAGATCCAGGTCCCTTGCCATATGCCAGCTGTCAGCGATGTGACTTGGGCTAGGTCCGGCCACCAGCACTGTCTATCACAAATGGCCAGGAACAAGGTAGCCCCATAGCATGGCACTCTCTAGTATCATAGCAATATAGTAGGGAAAGATTCCAAGGCAGTGTGTCGCCCGAACTCCTCTTCATAATAGGTCCATTGACTATTCAAGAGCCAGGCTCATTACCAACGAGGTGTGCTTTTCAGCTATGCCTCCTCCTTAGACGCGTTATCTATAGCTACCCCATTATTGAGAGGCCATGATTCAAACAAGTATTAAAACCCCGAGCCAAATGATGACAATAACACAACAGGGTAGAGAATATGACTGCGCTCTGAAGAAGGCACAGCTTCGGCGCGCAAACCCACAAAAGAAGACCGGTGGAGGCCCGATTCAAACAGCTGCATTTGAGGAGTTTTACCTCATATACCTTGACGGCTCCAGGTGAGGGCCGGGACAATTTTTCGTCAAACGAATGCTATCTCGTCGCCTGACAAGCACCATCAGTCAGAGCAGGAGAATGAAGCTATAGAAGATAGTACTGAGGGATGAACTGCGTCTGCGCTATGACCTTTGAGCTTTGACAAAGTAGTTATCCACCTTCTGTATTTGGCTACAATATTAGGAGGTCTGCTTGTGAATGCCTTCAAATTGGCGACGACCCTTTGACGTGATTGGAAGAGTCGCATCGAATCTCCTACAAGGATTGGCCACATCAATGCGGCTAGTTATTAATCCATGACCAGGGCACTCTTCACATGGAAATAGGTAAGCAGCCACTAGCAACCCCTCCAAAGGCCAATGTCAAATCACGTCTTGTGACATTGCTCAATAAATACCTAGGAAAGTCGGTATGACGTGTTCGCAAAGCTTCTTCTTTCAACGTACTCGAACTCACTGATCTACAGTATCTCCTCGAGTGTTATCTGTTCTATCTTATCACGCCTCAATCGTTCCCGCATTGCCATATCCAGAATGGCGCACGTCACTCCCGAGGTTGCTTTAGCCATCACACGCCAAAAGGCGCGCTACGGGAGATACGCCGACACGAAACAGTGGGACAAGTTTGCTCAAGACATCGCTCTCCCCGATGCACGTTTCAGCTTCTACGACACTGAGGGAAAGCTTCTCGTCGCGGGCCCGCAGTCATTGGCATTCGACTCTGCCAAGGGATGTGCCGCCTTCTTCAACAAATTCTTTGCGCAATTCCAAACGCAGCATAATTTCAACCCCGGGGACTTTGAGCAGGTTGGGCCTGACGAGGTTAAAGCCGTTTTCGGCATGGAGGATCAAATCATGTCCAAGTATTTGGGTGCATGGGTTGAGATCAGAGGAGGCGGCTTCTACCACGAGACCTGGAAGCTTGTCGATGGGGAGTGGTACCTTCAGGATCTGAGGCTGGAGCGTACCTATCAGAAGGAGACTGTTCTCGTCAAGATTGGATTGGCTGTTGCAGGTTTGCTTGGGATTTCTCTTTAATAAGAGCGTTGAAATGCAGAAAGGACTAGGGAAACCATTCGATGTGGATGCTGTTGGCCGGAATGAGTATCAAAGATTGGTGTGGTTGGCATTGCCAGGGATACCCTAGTGTGCAATATGCAAGAATCACAGATTACTTAAACCCCCAAAGCCTCTCTGCAAGCATCGAGGGTTCGTCTCCGACCTCTCACCCTCTCTGTCCCTACTCTGCATACCTAGGCCAGCCCAAAGCCTGACCGTGTTCAGGCAATAATACACGAAATCTTGTTTGTATGCCCTTGAGATGTGTAAGGAGGTTCTTTGGGTGAAAATATCTAGAACTAAGGTTTCATGGCACAGAAATATGTCGTCTATACAAAGTGACGCGCCTTTTGGGCAAAAGGATTCGTTTGACCGAGTCCAAGGCTTTATTGTCAAGCCCCGGACTCCGAGCGAAAGAAAACACCGTGCATAACTACCAACTCATGCGACAGATACTCAGTGAATCGCTGCAGTGTGTTATCATAGCATTCGCGACCGTTGGCGTGGGACGCGGGGCAGCTCGTTGAGGCGGTGAATTTTATGTAGGGTAGCTATCTCGACGTGTGTTTCCCCCAACACCAACATCAGCATCCAAACAAGAGACTGTCGCGTCTTATCTCACGTGAGCTTTACAGCTGCATTCTCCTTCATTACTCTTGTCAATAAGAGCAGTCGGTGCAAGGGAAAATGCGTAGTTTTGCCCAAATTGGGAAATGCCTCGCGAGCGCGGGACGCGCATCTTACCAAGTGGGGAAATAGTTGCCTCGACTTCCGCTTATGGCAGTTAAACGACATGCCTGTTCCGACCCGGTTCCGAGGAGATTTGCACCCCCGGTTATCTTGTTGTGCTACCGCTGTAAGATTTCCGCTCTGTTCCGAGCTACATTCGCACCTTAAGCTAGCCTAACTTGGAGTATCCATCCGGCAGGAGTCCGAAGCCATACTGGAGTACAAGACAACACATGAAATGTGTTGGAAAGACGGGAAAAGACGTCATTTAGGCCTATGTTAATTATCTATAACCCAATTTCTCGGCTCACGAGGCAACCGGGATTCTTGGGAGCACGAAGCTGAGATTATAACTGCTTTGAGAATCCTGAGGTGATACGTGCGCAAGTCCCTTATCGGGTAAGACCTCACGCAGTAGTCGAAATGGGTACCACCCTTGAAACCGCCCTAACAACGGTTAAGACGGGATCCTCCCCCAATAACCATCTCAACCTTTTCCAATTACCAACCTCGACGTCTTCCCCGCGATTCTTCTTGATGGGCTGAGCAGAGAGATGGGAGATTCTTTCAACAAGACAATTATTGGCTGAGCGAATCGTTTGCGTTCATAATGACAGAGACAAGGTACAACGGGCTTCACTCCTTATCAACATCCACTCAGCATCTAACACCTTCAAGCACAGAGCCACCAGCCCCCGGGGAAACGACCTCTCTAGCGACACCTCAAAATGCGGGAATAATAGAGTCAACGCCTGTTCCTCCTGAGAAGAAGCCTGTTGGCTTCAAGGCACCTGTGGCTATCAAGAAACTGGATGGCTTCATCTCACACCTGAACCGTCTCATTCACACTCGCGACGGTCACGACTCTGTCATCTTATTCGCAGCATACGTAGCGCAATTGGCGGCGGCGATACTCGAGACTTCAGGCAACGCTAATCTACAAAAATGGGCCAACAAAGTTCTGACTTTGCTACCAAAAGCGCTGGCATCCAGGGCGCCATCGTTGCCGCTAGGATCCAAGTTATTCTCCATCTTTTCCGCGGCACCGAGACTCCAGCTACGACTTGCAGAGCGACTGAGGGCACTCGTGGATATGCTTGACGACTGGAGCGTCATGAGTCGCTTGTGGGGTCTCTTAACCATGTGGATGCTCGCAAAGGAATTCATCACTACCCCGAATACCGACGACAAAGAACCTCGAGTACGAAAAGTGAAGACGGCCATTTCGGCTACCCAGATCACGTCTCTTATCGGATTCTTCATTCTGGAAAACATTTCTTGGCTATCGAGGCGCAAGGTGCTCTCATGGTCGGATAAGTCGCAGCCCAAGCTCATTCTTTGGTGTGTGCGCTCATGGGGCGTCTACGTCTTTGCCGAGCTGGGACGGCTGTTGTTCGAGCGGCTTCGCAAGAAAAGCGGCGAAACTGGCCAAGAAGATGCAGAGTCGCGGACTCAGTGGAATAAGCAGTTTGTTGAGAACCTGGCGTGGGCACCTTTGACTGTTCACTGGACGACACCTGGGGGCTTGCTACCAGAGTCTGTTGCTGCGCTCCTGGCGTCTTATGCCCAGTTTATATCAGTCCAGGGATTGTGGAAGGAGACTGCTGAGACTTCCTGAGAGCCTTAACTTTTATGGACCTTCTTGTATCTATGAATAACTATTAATCACTCTGGGGATTGGAAGGTCGGGGCAAATCTCCTCATGCAGCCAACTCAAATTTCCAACATACACAGCCACGCCTCGGTTCACCTCTGCCCTCTGCCAACCTAGAGAAGCCACTTTCAATCTACATTCCGTACATGGCCAATCACGCTTTGCTACGTGTAATGTCTATGAATCGTGGTGTCTACCATCACAGATGCAAGTCCTACTTCCGGCAGAGCGATAAAAACGACGCGACCGAACAATGACACAATAGAACCATTTCAAACAAAAGGTCATTAGGTGTTGATGCCTTCGCCATGTCCACATCCTCCGCTATGGAAATGCTAGTGGCCTTTCCGTACAAGCCTCTGGATACTGGAAAAGCCGAAATTCGAGTGCTCAAGCTTCCCACAAACAGCTCAGGGAGCTTCGAGTTGATCACGGTCTCACTCCATGACGACCCAGAGTATGCGGCGCTTTCGTACCTCTGGGGCGACCCTCAAGATCAAGAGATTATCACTGTTCAAGGCTACAAGCTCGGGGTTACCAAGAATCTCGCTGCAGCCCTCTCTCGCCTCCGCCGGGACGAGCCTTGGTTAGGGACTGACAGGGTATGGGCCGATGCTATATGCATTGATCAAACAAACCTCGTCGAGAGATCTGAACAGGTCCAACTGATGCGTCGCATCTACTCGTCAGCTCTGGTGGTCTACTCGTGGGTTGGACCAACCGACTATACCTTGGCATTTGAAACCTTAGAGACACTCGCGTGTATAATAAAGGAGAACCTCAAAGGCCATGCCGATGGCGAAATTTCTGCTGAAATTTTGTCTGGCAGAGCAGTAGTTCGGCTTGACTGGCTACGACAGCATGGCAACCTTTGGGACCCCAAGGATGAACCAGGGTCACCGCCTAGAGACAACCCATGGCATGCATCTCTGGTCTTAGAGAAATACTGGAAACGGGTTTGGGTTTTCCAAGAGGTAGTCCTCGCTCATCGGCTGCTCTTGCTGAGCTCAGGAGACACAGTGTTGGGCTGGGAGGATCTTCGTCTGGTGACGGTCAGCGTCAGTCGGCTCACGTTCGAAGTCAACACAATGGGGCAGAGGTTACCAGACTTCATATCTCATGAAGCCTGGGGATTGATCGAAGAGCTTGGTCGCAAGAATGTTTTCAAGCTCGCGGAGATCGGAAAGCGCAGAATGAAGCTTGCATCGCAAGAACTGGGTAACTACACTGGCTGGATGACGTCTAGCTTTGCCAGCCATTTAGAGGCGACTGATCCAAGGGACTACATCTCTGGCCTACTCGGAGTCACCAGGATCCCGTTATCACCCGATTACAGAACCGGGAAACCGCTGTCAGAGTTGTATGTCGAATACGTTGCGGGATGGCTGAACGCCACTTGTGGGGAGACTGTGGACATTTTTGGGCCACTGTCGTTTTTGTCAATCGCTGGAATTGGCCTGTTTGGCCCTTCTGATACTCTTCCATCTTGGGCTCCCAACTACCCAGAGAATGCCCGCCACAATCACCCAGTAGGGTTTATGTCAGGCTCCAACGAAGACATCCCGAAAACTTTTATCGAGAAGCCTTACGTTTTCAAAGACACTCAAAGTCTCTTCGCCTGGGGAAGCAAGATGGGATCCATCAGCACAATCTCAGAAGAACGAGACTGCAATCGCCCCCGAGACTTTGTTTCATTCCTCAAGTCGTTTCTTTCACGTCATGCACACTACGTGTCTGGTGTCACCTCTTTGCAGGCCATTTGCCAACTTCTCCTCACGGAGAAGAAATCAAAGCCCGTTACTAAACAAACAGTTTTGCTTGCCCTAGGTATTGCTTCTCTCGTCCTCGATTTTGAAAAGGTTGATCAGGAAACCACAAAAGAGCCTCCTTGGCATCACGAATGGGAGACCAGGCTTTATGAGTTCGCTTTTCCGGGTAGTGATATGCAAGATCTGGGTTTCACTCGCACCCCGCAAGAAGAAATCTTGTCATGGTGTAAGGACAAGCGCAGCCAAATCCTATCAGCCCTCGACCAGGAACTGCGGAAATACAATTTCTTTAAGTCCGAGAGTGGCTATCTCGGCAGGGCACCTCTGGGGGCGAAGAGAGGAGATATTCTTTGTCTTCTTGATGGTTATGACCTTCCTGTGTTGTTACGGGAGACTAAGGAAGGTCATCACATTTTCGTGGGCACAGTAACTGTGCTGGATCTAGACATTCACAGTCTCCTTCGCAATATGGGGCCCGGGGGCCAATGGTTTGAGCTCAGGTAGCGCTATGAAGAGTGACTTTTACGAGGTATTGCCACGAGAGAGAAACGTCGCTCAAGGTCACTGTTGATTTAGTAGCAGAAGTCTTTTCTCTGCAGTTCTTGGGTTTAATTACGCCACCAGGGGAAATCCCTGGATTGTGGTAATGTCATTGATTGCGAGATGACAATTCCCCCAGTGATTAAAGTCTGTCGCCATGGCTGGTATGGAGGAAGATCCGTTCAGAGCCCGGTCAGCTTGGGTGAAATTGCTGAGATTTCCATGTCTTGGCGCATGAATAGCGGATTAAGGCTGATAATGATTCACTCAATCAGACCCCTTGACATTTCCAGTTCTTCATAGCAATGCTTTGGCAGCGAGTAGCATTCGTGTAATCTCTCAGTGAAACGATGGAAACGCGCTAAATAAAAATCAAGGCGCCTTTGACCTCCAACCGAGACTTATTAATTCCAGGGCTAATCCACAGGGAGAAGGCGCTAAAGACGGTGAGATGAGTTTCGGGTTCAACGTAATTCACTCAATCCTTCACTCTTCTTCTCTGAAAACTCACCATGTTCATATACAAGCCTATCAGTAAAGCCAACAAAGAAATCAGACTCATACGACTTGCTTGCGACCCTGCGGCCAAGGTCATCAATCTTGAGCTTTGTCATGCCTCGGTCAACGACCCAGTCCCCTACCATGCGGTGTCGTATGTCTGGGGTGATCCCAACGACACGGCTCGAGTCAGTGTCGACGGCGAAGAATTCATAGTCTCCGAGAATCTCGTTTCGCTTTTGCGACAGCTTTTGCGGGCGGGAGTCACTTCTTGGCTTTGGGCTGACTCGATCTGCATCAACCAGACCGACCTGGAGGAGAAGACGTGGCAGGTGAACGCCATGGACCAGATTTACGGTAATGCAAAGCTGGTATATCTATGGCTTGGCCCAGGAACTCCACGAACCGATAAGGCGATGAAACTGTTGTGCGAATATGGGCGCGAGTTAGTCCATGAACTGGGACCCACGGATGATTGGGACATGGACGAAGTGAACCCCCATCTCTATGAAGCCTTATCGACCAAGAAGAAGCCTCGTTCCAATGCGCACCCCGTTGCTAAGTTCCTATACAAGATGTATAAAGAGCCTGGGCTTCATCGTCGCGACGACGAGCGTCCGTTGAGCAAGTATCCTCTAATGGACGGACTTCGGAATCTTCTCGAGAGACCTTTTTGGCGCCGTATATGGATTGTTCAAGAAGTCGCATTGGCCCAAGATGCACTTCTTCTCTGCGGTGATGAATTAATGCCCATCCAATACTTCATCGAGGCTATAGATGTCATTCGGGAATGGACCGAGATCTTCAACGAACTATCCAACTTTTCCTTCTTATGGGGTCTTGGCCGAGCCTTTTTTACGACTTCGACACTACTCCTTCGAAAGCATCGAATCAACGGCCGGGAACCAAGCCTTGTTCATGTCCTTCTCGGTATCGGCACTCTTACTGGACCCCGGTATCTAGCCTCGGAGCCCCGCGACCTCATTTTTGGGCTACTCAGTGTCGTCAGAGAACGTGATTCCTTTTGGCTGCACGCAGACTATACTGAACCGGTTGGCACTGTTTTTGCGAGAGCGACCAAGGCTTTTATCGACTGGTGGCGACCAAAGGGAGACGGTGACGATAGGGACTGGGAAGACCTACCAGCTTTGGACGATCTGCGCCCAACGAATATGCCTGGAATGCCCTCATGGACGCCTGATTACGAAACTATTGGGAAGTGCGGATTCGATATAGACACCATCAAACACAATTGCTTTGCATCTGCTAGCAAAGGAGCGCCAAACCCCCAACTAATAACATCGCCGGATGAAGATCCCATGGTCCTCCGCCGACTCGGATGCGTGGTTGATACCATCACCCAAGTAATGCCTCCTCTACCCGATGTCTCTTGGGCAGATGAGACCGACTATGCGAAGGAAGTCGCTAGAGCCTTTGCTATGGTTGGACGTCCCGTCATTGACTTCATGGGACTTGGCCCTGAATCAGGGCCCGAAGAAGACTACATCTGGAAGACGGTGATGCTAAGCTTTCAAGATCTATTCGATGAGGATGAAGGACGCCCCGATGACAAAGATATACCGCTGGAAATGTGGCAGGTCATCCGAGCCTTATTCCGAGGCGAAAAGATAGATCTAGAGAAAGCAGAAGCTGTCCTAGAATTTCTTGGCGATTCAGACGGCCAAGATGAGTGGGAAGACGTGGACTCTGAAGGTGAAACGTCCGGCGACGAGTCAAGCTCAGAAGATGACAATTCATCAGATTCAGATGAGAAAGATTCTGCGGCCGATAAACTAATCAACAACTTCTGGATTGCTCAGCCTGATTTGAAGGGGCGGACTCTATTCAAGACAGCCTACGGGAGGCTTGGTATGGCACGCACAAATGTCAAGGAAGGCGATATTGTTACAGTCATTTGGTCGGTACCGGCACCTATTGTTCTCCGGGCACAGGGAAGCCAATATCGGTTCCTCGGGGATGCTTATGTTGAGGGTATCATGAAGGGAGAGTTCCTCGATACGAAGCCCGAAGAGGTGGTATTTGAACTCGTTTAAACCAGTTGGACAGACTATACCTCCAGGCTAAAAAGAAATGCAGAAAAATAGCAAATCGATTCAACATGAACCTGATTATGCTCGGCGCCCATATGCGCAGAAGGAATGTGTCAACATGAATAGCACTCGTCAAACTAAACAACTCCGATATTCTCATCATCTCATGCCTCCCGAGGTTGTATCGAATGAGACTCTGGTATTTACAAAAAAAGGGGGGGGATCCAACGATCACGCGGTAGCCTCGGGCTTCTGGCTGTAAATGATGGTCCTAGAAAACGCGTCAGGCTCATATATGTAGCTGGCTGTGGGTATTGACATACACTTCTCCGTAGGAGTGGACGGCGGGGTTCAAAAGCTCGTTTCGCATCTCGACCAGGAACATCTGGGCGTCGTCGTACGTCCACTAGAAGAGTCAGCCAAATACCCAGATGAAAAGACGAATGATACTCACCCCAAGAAGTTCAGTGAGACCGCGAATAGAGAATCCCTCAAGAGCCTGCAGAAGGAACTGACGGTTCCAGGCCCCCCAGGTCTTAAGTCTCTTGTCCTTGGGCCACGGGCCGAGAGGCATCTTGAGTCTTCGTTCAACGAGATTCTCAAACCCAGCCTCACGCTGGAAGTCTGCTGCCTTGTGACCATAGAAGAAGCCCTTGCCCGTGAGGGTGCCGATCTTTTCAAAGACTTCCACCCACTTCTTAAGCGGGGAGTTGTCTTTGAGAGACCCGTCGTCGGACTTGGTGATGCCCCAGAGCTCGACGTGCTCTACCCAGCCGCCGGGCTTGAGAGCCCTACAATATGATTAGTTGTTGGACCCTGAGGTTCGGAAAGCATTTCAACTTACTTGAAGGCCTTCTTGTGCAGTTCAACCCAGTCGGGAATACAGCCAGTCATGGCCCGAATGTGAACATAGTCAAAACTGTTGTCGGGGAATGTCCACTCTTGGTTGATATCGTCGACCTCGAATTTGCAGTTGGGAGGAACAAAGCCGGGCTGGATGGGTGAGAGATCCACACCGAGGACATCAGCCGAGGGATGCTCATCTGCGAACTCACTACACAAGTGATGAGTCAGTTGTGCGGTTACTTGGTTTGATGGGTAACTCACATGGCCCAGATTCCAGTACCACAACCAACATCAAGGACACGCTACATATCAAGTCAACGGGTGTCTCCTAGGTATGAACGACGAATACCCACTTGAGGGTTCTCTCCAAGAGGGGCAGCATAGAGGTTGCCGTCCAGGATGATACGATACATCTCGTGCCTGCAGGATTAGACTCCGCTTACGTATGCGATAGAGTAGAAACTCACATGAGATCCTCGGCTTCTTGTTGGCGCTCGTCATTAGGTCCCCTGTGATTGGTGAGCGATGCACAGGAACGACTCATGTGAAACCTCTAACCAGTATGCGCCGTCATTATAGGCGTGGTATCTGCGGCCATTCTCCCACTTGTAGTTAAGGATCGAGGTCCTCAGCGACTCAGTATCGGTCACCCGCGTGCTGCAGTTTATGTAAGGGTCCACAGATGGCTACACTAGATGTTCACAGGGAAACCTACGACCCAGAGTACGTAGAATCGGCATCGTCGTCCTACTTGGGTGAGAAGGATTGGCTGGAGACGGAAGTGGAGGGCTGCATACCACTTCAATTGGGCCATTGTCTGACCGCTCGGCTGTCTCAGGAGAGAGGGCCGCCCCAGTCTCAGCCCCCTTACCTGGGGAGGACGGCGACTTGGGCGAGGAAGCTTGTTTCGGCGACGACATGGCAAAGGACACGACCAACAGAGAGTCACTTCCAGGTGTCGAAAGAGGCAGCAGGTGAAGAGATTTGCCGTACGTGAGGGGAAAAGGGCGACCCAGAAGGAATCACTCCACAGCGCCGAATTGACATGTTTCACAGCCTTATTAAGCCCTGGTTAAGTGAATTAAGCAGACACAAACGAGGGTCCGTTGCATACGCGTGTGGAGACGGTCGCTCGAGGGGGCCAACAGTTATGAGGATAATGGGTGTTGGCTGCTACGCTGGCTGCATGACTTGGGAACCCGAGCCGAGATTTGGGGGGCTTTTTTTTCTCGCTTGCAACCGTGCACAAGAGCATAAGTGACCTGTCAATATTTCATTATTGCACAAAAGAATGCAGTTTTCCGGTCGAGAGAAGAGGGAACAGCTTGGTAAGCCATTTGTTGATGAGATGAGATGACAGGTTTGTTGTCCCTGCATCATCGTGGTCCCTGAAGCTTTTGGCTAGTGTCAAGACGATGCATTTGTGCCTGCATAACGCTGAGCCGAGGCAACAAAGCATGTGTCCACAGGAGCAGATGCCAGGGGATAATAGTATCTCCCTCCAAACTTCATTCACAGCAAACATATTCCTTCTAGATCGGTGTTTGATATGAAATACGTCTGTCCGTGCATGTCAATCTCATCCCCGCGTATTCCCAGTCCAATTAAGCTTATGTTTCGGGCAGGCTAATAAATTAGACAGAGTTAAGCGGCCCGTTAGCCAGCGGCTCTAGCTTGAACCTTGACAGAGATCCTTGGATAAGAAAATGGAGACCATTGCGCATCATTTATCTTTAATAATATTCAAAATCGCTTACAGGCTCTGCTAACATGTCGTATACGTTCAAATCAATCATTGTAGAGCATCGATCCTTCGCATCATCTTCTTGTCCATCGCTGGCTTCGCTTACCCTATCACACAAGATTTATCCACTCTAGCTCCCGTTCTTCATCCATAACCTGCCCATCCATGATGCCATGCACATAAGCGTGTGTAACATACTCATAAAACACCTCTTCTTCTTCGCCAGGTGATTCCTTCCGACGCAAGATGAACGGCATCTTGCCTCCCAACAAGACGCACACAATATCTCCAGCCCTGACACCCGGATTTGAAAGCCCAATCATGCCTGACTCTGTGATGATACCCTTTCTGTTATGGATAACCGAATTCGCCGGATCTTCAGTAGAAGCCAAGAGCCTTTGAGCTGATGCCTCTGCATTTTCGTCGGACTGAAATCTATGGCGACCGGGTTTTCCATCATCGGCAAGCGGCTCGAGATCACCAAGGAGCGCGCGGTGGGAGGCTTGTTCATATGTCCCACCCCGAGGGTATTCCTGACTGTTGAAGGCATCGGAGTAATATCTTGGATCTTGCCACTGACTGACAATATCCATTAGCCTGTACCTGTTCTTGAGAGTTCTTCCGACATATGTAACACGGTCTAGCACGAGTCCTCGGAGACTGAGTATTTTATCCGAGGCCATGGCCCTCATCAAAGGCTGTAGGGAGCCTGCTGCGGAGAATTGGCGAAAGACTCGTATCCAGATAATCTCCGAGTGACGGCTACGGACACCACCGTTACACCAATCAGGAACCCATGTCGGTAGGGCAGGGTTTCGTTCCGTCTCGGGGATTCTCAGTAACGGGCTAAGGCTGCCGCATTCATCGATCAAAGACCGAGTTGAGCGTCTATAGATATCTTCGAAGGATGATGAATAATCAGCTGTGATGCTGCTTCCTAGGCCGAGAAAGGCATTCACTCGATCCCTCGGGTCGGATGCTTGTCGTGATCGGAAAAGGTTGAGAGCAAGCGGCATCAGAGCCGGTGTTTTAGAAGACCGCTTAATGTAGTTAAGACCGCGAATTTGGGCATAAAGATCCTTGAAGTGGCCAAAAGAGCCGCAGCAGCCTTTATGTCGATGCCTGTAACCGTTCTTTCGTACCTGCGCAAGCATGGAAAACGGAAGCTCCAGGGTGCCACACATGAGCGTGGCCTCGGGTGGGAGGACCGCCTCTTGAACCGTCCACACACGATGCCACCAAGAAAGCTTGATAAGGGAAAGTATTGCGGCGACTCCTTGCCCTATGAGGTCTTGGCCTGGCTCTTCGTACTTGATGTCGTAGTGGTGATCAGCAGCCAAGACTTCGAGAAATGTGAAAGCCGCCATGACTGTTTCCTCGGGAATTAAGTTTTCGTTGGTTCTTGGCTTTTTGGAGGTCAATCGGGAAGAATCAGAGTCCTCGGCAAAGTCGCCCAACCAGAGGACAGCTTGTGTTGTACGAGAGTAGATGTCCCTCATGAGGTTGACCTGGTGTGATTTCTCAACGTCGTCAGCCTGATTGATGCACAGGGCATCGACCCAGAGACGTTGCTCATCATCAGATAACCGTAGCCTGCGAAGGGCATTAAAGAGGTTGACAGTGACGTTGGTTGTCCTCCCATCAACAGTGATGGACCGACAATCAAGAGGATCGCCCCACGCATATGACAGAGCCTGGTAGGACGGATCATCTGCAAGAAATGCAGTTTCCAACGTGCAACGGATAGGGTCTTGGCTCTCTCCCGGAAGGAGACGTAAGATCCGGATTTGGCGCTGATTCAGCTCAAGTTGGTGATACTGTAGAGGTGGCGGTGCCGGTCGCAGAGGGAGATCCCACGTGTGCCCATTGAGGGTGTTTCCGTCACTGATAGGGGACCGCGACGGGCTCAAAGTTGGAGATGAACTACTGGACGCCATTTGAGACACAATCATCAAGTTGAATGTGCAATCCGACCGTCAAGATGCGGAGAGGCGGGGGAATATTGGGCTTGACCATGTGGAGTGGCTGTGCAAACTGAGGCTCTAAATCCGCCTCGTTGACTTTGTTTTGAGCCTTATCTTGATGCCTGGGCCATTCATTGACAGGGGTCTTTGGCATGTGTGTGCCTCACAAGCACCCAGTCCAAGAAATAAATGGCATACTGCAGGTAGGCAATGAGACCTTTGCCGGGCTATAAAGACATAAGTTAGATCAGAATAAATAATTAAAAATATAAAATAAATAAATAATATTCTAAACTCTACATAAATTCTTAGATTTATAATCATAAGCCTTTTATGCTATGATTCAGCGGATTAAAAGGCAGAGTAGGGACTTGCGAAGTGTGCCATTTTTTTCTTGGACCACTAGACAAGGCAGAGTCTGGGGGCCGTCCGTAGTGTGAAGGAATAGCTGCCACACAGTGTAAGGACGATCACTCTCCACATCCAATATTGATGGTGTGAAAGTGCTTTTCAGCTTTCCACTTCGGGACCTCCCCTGTCGCTCTCAACAATAAAGTCTCTCGCCATGAGCCAAAGTCGGCGAACAGATCCCCTCGAGCCGGGGTAATGGAGCCTATGGGGGAGGGAGAAAACTGAATTAAGACACCAGCCGACAGCAGCTGGATGACGCCTCCAAGCCTAGAACGGGGCCTTTGCAGAAGCGGCATTCAGCCTCTCAATAGTGGCTGATCGTCCCAGCCAACATCAGCGATTGTAGTGGCTCCAATACCACAGCTGGGCGTCGATCCGAGTCAGGCTAACCCCCGCAGGCCGTTGCTTCAATCTCCTCTTTACGAGAGGGCTGACCTTGTCGACAGGTTGTGAATGGCGCATCGTTCTCTTGGCTGCAGGCTGAAGGAGCGCCACTGCACATCTCTAACGCCATCTTGCCCAATATCCTTGAGCAAGACTTTTTAGCCATTATTAAACCCCGAGGGAGAAGAAGCATTTGGAGGTTCCGCCTCCTCTGTTGTTGTTCTGCAGTTTCGTCCGCCTCGATCTGCTGAAGAAGCAGCTTGTTTCGTTCCCATCTCATGCACTGAGTGTTTCTCAGCATTGAGTAGCAGCCGACCTTTTCACATCAACAACCTATCGATCCTTTGGCCGTCAGCAAGCTTGTGCGACCATGGCTGAGATTCAACCTACAGGGCTTGCAGTCGCGCCCGTGTTTGATGTGGCTGGCCCGGCGGTGACTGCACCTGCGACGCTTCACCAGCGCGATCTTTTCGGTCGCCAAAACAACTATGATTCCTGCGGCTACTACTCTCTCCCAGACAACGGTATGGGCTCTTGCTACTTATTATCTTGAGCTTCTCATGAGCTAACACAATTGCATAGGATGGGCTACCTGGCAATGCGGCGAAGAGAACGCCTGGACTACGACCTGCAAAACCATCGGCTCGCATTTCGGCTGCTTCCAGAACATCTACACGACATGTTACCCCAGTGCATCTAGCTGCGACAGTACCAACGCGCGTGCCCTTTGTTGGTTCGTCTGATTGATGCCAAGAAGACTGCAATGAATCGACTAACGAGTGGCTTAGCACTGAGGATACCAACTTCCCGTACTGCGCGACAGGCATCAAGCCCCTCGAAGGCGGCGATGGCGACGAACTATCCATATACCTCTGCGGCAAGACCGAACAACAGGTCCCCTTCTACGAGTCGACCGTTGTCAGGATCACGACGGGTAGTACGACCGAGGAACAGACACTTACCAGTATCGATACCACCAGGGGCGTCGTAATTGTCACCAAGACGGCTGAGCCCTCACCTGAACCGGATGATAAGTCTAGTACTCCAATCGGGGCCATTGTTGGAGGCGTTGTCGGCGGTGTCGCACTGATCGCCATCTTGGGATTGGCATTTTGGTTCCTTCGACGCAAGAAGGGTAACAAGGAGGTGGCGACGACGCCTGCGGCTCCCGCCCCTGCACCTGGATTCTCTCCTCAGCAACAACAACAGCAAATGGGCTACCAACAAGGCGTGCCTCCTCCGGTCGTCTACGATTACAACAACAACAACTACGCCGGCTACCCGGTCCAGGGCTCCCCGCCTCCCCCAAGCGATCCTCGATACAGCCAAATGCCTGTAGGGGGCATGAGCCCTCCACCTCAGAGTCCTCCCATCGAGTACTATAAGCCAGTCGCTTCGCCCGTTTCCGAACTGCCCGCCACTTCTTCCCCTCACGACAACACACCCGTGTCTGAGCTGCCCGCCGACATGGGGAATGTAAGCAACACAACGCCAAGGTAAAACGACCAAGAGAGTGAAAATGAGGAGTAGGAAAGCATCGGAGATGCGGAGAAAGGGATATGAGGCTGAATAAGGCATCAACCTAATGGAGTACTCGGTCGGGATAGAGGTTTAATCGGCTGGACGGTTAATACGGTCACATAATGAACTTCGTAGCTGCCGATCATATCGTCATTATGAGCGAATGCCTGGATTTAAACATTCCATTATTTTTCATTCGATTCTCCATCCCTCCTGGTCACCATTTGGGGATTGCCATTTTGGAGGCCCTCTCCAGGGCCTGCGTCGAAATGTGACGAGACCCCAATTGTGCGAACAACTTGGTGCATATTTAATATTCATTAATAAACTGTTTGACTAAGAGCTACCTTTTCTTCCACCTGAGCTGTTTGCGCCCGTTCCATTTGGACCCCTGTTGCGTACGCCAATGGTGGCTGGCTGAAGTGATTAAACATGCTTTGCTTTCAGCCTCAAACCGTCCGCTCTCATGGCAACTTCCGCTTAGTGGGCTTCCTGAATGTTATAACGGTGACTCCCTTTGGGGCCTAGCGAGGATGGAGTTCCTATTAACTCACTCCCTGACCGCGGTATTAATTCAAGGTTCATTAGAAGAAGCAACTGCACCTTATGAGCGGTAAGGGAAGCGTTTGTTCTTGGGGTTCGGGTAAGCTTACTTTGTGGCTGGCTTAGGGGGGGGTCTAGACCTCGTTCAACCAAGACAGTCGGTAAGCTATGAATGTCTGCGCGATACGGCTGACCAGTTCCCAGGCTCATATTGGCTGCAATGCACAATAAGCTTACCTGACAAGTTCGCATCGAAGCATGCTGACAGGGAGGCTTAGGCGGGTTAGCCCCTTGCTGAGCCCCAAATCCAGCGAAACAATATTCATTAGAGATACGGCTGCATTTTCGACTATTTTAAGGCAATAAAGCTGACAAAGAGGGCTTATTCTGTATGCCAAACGGCCACCGGCACCCATTTTCTGAAACGTTGCATGGCTCCCTCGACATCGGCAGCAATCGCCTGTCTCGCTCGGTCAACGTTTAACGTCAACATTAGAATAATAGAAGTTGAAATAACCTCTTCATCATTCTCCCCAACATCTCGTAATATGTAGATTATATAAAAGAGCTTTCGATCAAGCTCCAATACTTCACAACTGCATCGACATGTCCTGCATTCTTCACACATGGTTGGATGTTTCTCAGTCCCATGGCACACCTTTTTAAGCAGGAATAGCCGAATCTGCTTTGAATTGAAGACACTAATTAGTATGATTCATCTGATAAAGCTTGCCCACCTTTCCCATTGTTAGTCCGTCATCAATGTCCTTCCTTGTGGAGATGTAATCATAAGTAATGAACGATAGCTATCAGGGCCTTTCACCGTGAGCTTTCAGAGAACCCTTTCGTCAATGCAAAGCCTACTATAGTAGCTAAATTCTGTACTATTCTTAGTCTACTATTTAATCGGGCTCACGCCTTCGCGGCTGACACACGTCACTGGCATCTAGGACCAAGAAAGTGTGGAAGCAGCCTGGAACATGGACCTTCACAACGCTGATGTACCTTTGTTGTGTGCATAATATCAATTTTGTAAATCGGTATTAATACTAGTGCTTTAGGAGACATTCAAAGACCTTGATCTACTTTGGATGGCTTGACATATTCTTGAGCATCTAGGCAAGGGTGCGCGATTCTAGAGACCTGAGATGGGCATGTCACTCATAACCTTTAAAATCTTCGACTAAATACCCGACTCACCTGTGTGTAACTGAAGCGAAGATATAAAAGCCCTTGGTGTAGAAATACCAAATTGTAGGGAACGATTGCTTACTCTTGAACTCGGTGTCGTAACCTTGGGCAGCTAATGCTAATACAACGACTGGCCAAATGATACAATAGGACAACTAAGCGTGTTAGAAAGCATCTAATAGGCCTTTCCTTGAACATGTATTGGACGCTATTAGTATCACCTACGGTTAAACTTAATGGATGAATTAATCACTATAGGTAGCTCCGATGGGTTTAAACGCCCGGAAAGTCACTGATGTTGAATGAGATCAGAAGAAGGAAACTCTTTAGTTATTCAATAATACTAGAAAAAGGCTCATCCTACCTTTCTTAGCGCCTATAATATCTTGGATATCACCATCTCGCAATCTGGTCATTAGCCCTTGATTCGCAGTTGTGTTTTTCTAACTATGAACAGCATTATTACATGGATCGCAATGTAAACCAAGATGCATAGCGTGTGTTTCAAGATATTGATTCATGGGCATTAAATGTCAAACTCACTAGGACCAAAAACAGGGCGGCATTCCAAGCACCTGTCCGTTTGGCGCCCATGGCCAATCCACAAGCAAAGACTTGAAAATGGCGGATGAAAAGTTCCAAGAAATTCTCCTTCAGGAGCTTCATGCATCGATGCGTAGGCATAGAGTAACTTGCCAAGCAGCCATCATTGCATCGCTCTGAGCGGCTGAACCAATGTCATGCAGGAATATCTCCTTGAGGCATTCCGGATTCTTTGGGTATGGTCAGTACATTGCAACCCCTCAATGATTCAGTCGGATGTCGAAGATCCTTCCCGGAACCATTGGCCAATAACATTATGTTCAGGTCAATGGGTGGCGCATATCGTGGGTGGCCTCAAAACGCACTCTGCAGGCTGACATGAACACCATTGAGACCGTTGGATTTAACGGAGAAGGCTGAGGTCCGCTCTACAACAAACCGAGGCCAATTCTGGTTATTTGCTGCGTATGGTAGACCTAATTCGACACCTGGGTATGGAGTCGGCCTGACATGCTTTCAGGGCTTGTGCTACACAGGCCTTCACCATCACATTCCTCCTCATCAATTGAGTGGCTTAGCCAACCAATAGTAGCACGGCGATCTCCCCGCGTCTCATCAAGAGATGAATCTGATCATGTTTGTTTACTTTGCGACGACTGACGATCAAGGTTGTGTCACCCCTTATACCTTCACCGGTCGAAGCAGCAATCCATTCTAGGAGCTCAATTATGTCGGCAGTTCACATTTATGTAACTCTTCCCCAGATAGTCTCGTATTCTTCGACCGAATCTGTTTGTGGAGAGTAGAGACACGCGTCTTGGGCGTTATGGAATGATATGACTTGAGAAACGATGTGCTACGTTGTAGTCACACAGCATAAGCGGGGAACCAGCTTGGGTGACACCGATTAAGCCATAATAATCGGCAGCTCGCTCTTCCCTGTGATAGTAATCTCCCCTCACTCACCAATCACTCATTGCTCATACAGTCCTTCATCAGCAGCCAAGATGGGTGAATTCGAAGCTACCAAGCTCAGAGACCCCTACATCTTTGTCAAGGCCGATGACTTCTTTCAGGGCCTTGACTCCCCTTCTGGCGGAGTAAAGCAGCCTGCCGCTGTATCCCTTCAGCCATCAGATCAATTGCTGGACGATGGCAAGCCAAACCCTGCTGTCAGCCATGGGGCCATCTTTCGCTTCAACGATGATTCCCTGCTCTTGGTCCAATTCATGCGACCTCAAGTCTGGAGAATCCGGTTTGATCCCAACAATCGAAAGGGATCTGAGTTCACAGACTACAACAGGTGAGCCATTACACCCGTCCCTATAATTTGTCCTAGAAATGCCATGCTGACGATCGGCAGTCGCACGATCATTCGAGATACCCTTAGCCTCCTCATCAGCACTCTCGATGCCGTTGAGAATATTGACTGGGCTGTTGAGATCATTGAAGATCCCAAGTACTACATCCTCCAGTCTGTTATGAGCCCCAAGACAGACCAAAGACAGGTGAAGCTTCAACTATGGGTTCAGCGGGACCCCTTTCAAATCACCGCTGTCCGGGTCCTCAAGAGCCAGTCTCCGGTCGAGAAGCTGCCAGTTTTGCAGAGTCTTGATGCCACCACCAGCGACAAGCTGAAGTTGCAGACTTCTCCGGGTGCTGAGGCTGCGGTCATCTGGAAGACCAAACCACGCGGTCTTCAGTACCAAAACAATGCAACTGTTCTCTCTGTGGAAAAGTCGGTCACGGCTGATTTCATGGGATTCGGAGAGCAGGGAGGCAAGCATCTCTTCAAGAAGAAGACATACATGAACTACTTCAGTAAGTGGCGCAGTGCCTTGAATATTATGGCTCTAACGCTCTCAGACTTTGACAACATGCGCTATCAGAATGTGTATGGCCAAGGACCTCTTGATGATCGGGAGCCACTATACCATTCAGAGCCTTTCTGGATCGAAGTTGACTCTCATCCCGGATACCAGTCTCAGCTTGCCACTTTCATCGACAACTACTCTCACATATGTGTTGATGTCGGTGTCAAGGACCAGAACGCGATCCGAGTGGCTACCAGATTCAACAGTTTCCACTGCATCATGGTGGCAGCTGACAGCATGCAACAGCTCATTCAATCGTACACCTCCATTGTCGGCACTCCGAGGCTCAAGCCACGATATGTGCTGGGGTACCACCAAGGCTGCTACGGTTACGACAACCAGGAGATGGTCCTCGAAGCTGTTGAAGAATACCGCAAGTGCGGTTTCCCGCTCGATGGCATGCACATCGATGTTGACATGCAGGATGACTATCGCACATTCACTATCGACAAGAGAGACAATCACTTCCCTGATCCCGTCAACATGTTCAAGAAGCTCCGAGAGAAGGGTGTCAAGTGCTCCACCAACATCACTCCTTACATTAACTCGATTCCTAACCAGGAGTATAACACTCTCAACGAGGGTCTTCAGAAGGGATACTTCATCGCCGACGATCGAGACATTGATCCATCAGCTCCCCAAGCCTACCAGCAGCGCTACTTGGGATTCAGTGTCGGAAACCAGACCTTCAAAGCTCCACAGTACGACAAGCCGCCGTACTTCCAGTCAGATGACTACGACTTCTCTCAGGTCTTCAACAGTGGGAAGCCGTTCCATGGTGGTGTCTTCTACGGCTGGGGAAATGGCCACCCAGGCCACTATCCGAACCTGAACAACAAAGATGTCCGCAAGTGGTGGGGGAAGCAGTATCAATATCTCTTTGAGTGCGGCCTCGACTTTGTCTGGCAGGACATGACGTCTCCTTGTATCGCTGAGGAGTACGGAGATATGAAGTCGTGAGTGCAAAGCAGCATTCAGCTCTGGACGTACTAACACGGTCATAGTCTGCCCTTCCGACTGTTGCTGGACTCTGATGGTTGGTCTGGAGATCCGGATCGCGCGAAGCAGAGAAAGGCGATTGAGATCTGGTCCCTGTACAGCTACAACTTGCACAAGGCAACCTACCATGGCCTCGAAAACATCTCCAAGCTCAGCCCTGAGCTCGCTTGGAGAGAGAACAGACGCAACTTCATCATCGGAAGAGGCAGCTTCGTTGGCAGCCACCGCTTTGCCGGTCTCTGGACCGGAGACAATGCTTCGACCTGGGACTTCCTTGACATCTCAGTTGCCCAAGTTCTAGCTCTTGGCATGTCTGGAATCACAATCTCTGGCCAGGATGTTGGCGGGTTTGAGTTTATTGACGCTGAGCGAGACTACGCCAACCCTGAGCTCCTGATTCGATGGTACTGCGCATACTCTCTTCTACCTTGGTTTAGGTGAGACACTTGACTTGACTCCTTTCTTTGGCTCACACTATTCCAGAAACCACTACACTAAGAAGCGGTACTGGGTCGATGGGCCCAAGCAAGGCCAAATGAGAAAGGACGGGAAGCAGTTTCAAGAACCGTATGCCTACCAGAAGCATTACGACGAGAACAAGGACAAGTACCAGGGACGAGAGGCCATGCTCTACCGAGCTGTTCTTCCTGTCTGCCGATACTACATCCGTCTCAGATATAGTCTCATGCAGCTGATGTATGATGCCATGTTTGAGAACGTCGTCAATGGTTTGCCGATTGCTCGAGCAATGGTACGCTCCTTGCTCCGATTGACCTCCAAAGACTAAATGAGCTAACCTCTACAGGTCATCACGGATGATGTTGACAGAAGTCTCTTCTCGGCAGACGTGAGTGCCCCTTTTCGAGATCTACAACGGCAAACTCATTGTTTTGCATAGAACCAGTTTTTCACCCGAAGCCAGTACATGGTCAGAAACGACTTGCTCGTGGCGCCAGCTCTTTTCCCGGAGAGCAAACGCCAAACCCGCAAGCTCTATCTGCCATATCCTGACAAGTGGTATCCCATGAATCTGCGTCCAGATGACCCCATCGGCGTTGCTCTGCCCGCTGCGGCGGATGGCGGAAGTCGAATCGAGTACAGTTGCCTCATCAGTGATCAGGACTCTCAGTTGCCGTACATCACGCCCATGTATATTCGTGAGGGTAGGTCATCTACTCCAAAGTTGTAGGTACAGCTACTGACAAGGATTAGGAGCCATCATCCCCAAGATCCAGGTCAGAGACTACATTCCCGACCCATCTCTCACTCAACAGCCAGCCAATCCGATCACCTTGCACATCTACCCAGGGAAGAAGAGGGTAGGCTTCCAGTCAAGATCACCTGACCTTGGTTATGAGTCTAATGCTGCACAGCAATACAAAATGTACCTTGACGACGGCATCTCCAGAGAGAGCGCGCCAGAGGCACCTGTCCCGGGGCTGAAGATTGGCGACTCGAAAGCGGCGGGCAAGTACTGTGAAGTCTTGATCGAACAGGCAAGTCATGCATTTGCTTTCAAATAATTACGACGCTAACACTTCCGATAGGAGACTGACATCTCCAACCAAAACAACTCCGTCCAGTTTGCGCGCACGGTGACCATCAGCTCGAATTGGAACAAGTACGGCGACCTTTCGGACATCGTAGGCTCCAAGTACACACTGGTCTTCTGGCACGACCCCTCTGCAAATCTCAGCTCGGTCAAAGTCTCATCGGCCAACAACAAGGTTGCAAGCGACACCAACAACAATTATCGTGCCACTATCGTCACTCTGCCTGTTGCTGACGCTCACACTGAGCATGGAGTCACTATCCAGTTGACCCACGGAACCTTGGGCTAAGCAACAGAAAACTTTCCTCTTCATCTTCCGTTATGTCTTGGATGCAACAGATTGCTCAATCTTGGAAACCCAACCTGTCAACAAGCCACTGGGTGGTCTCTCTTCCATTGTCACGCTCACAAGCCTTAATATTTGGACTCATCATACCTTTCTACCTATGTAATACAAGCAGACTGAATGAACCTTCTCTTTCTTCTCAATCAAGCTTTCCCACTCATATCACCGTCATTCATCTGTTAACATGAATTGATACGAAGACCTGGGAGCGTAGTTGTGGGATCCGTTTCTAAGCCGTTTTTGTGTGTGGATTTACGATTAGGTTTTCGATGCTCTCACGGAATAGCTGATTATGATTCTATGCCATCCTGATTTTGACAGCCTGAATATTCCTTTTTTCGCGGAGGTGCGATCTCAGCCTTGCATTCTGGTATGTTCGGTCACAGCGCTGAACTGAAGTCCTAAAGCCTCCTGCACTTGAGCATCACACAAGCGGTCACTCGGCTAGGCGGCATCTTTTCTTGAAAACAGGCGGTAGTACCAGATTTGGAGGCTGATACTTGCATCAAAGTGCAAATGTCGCTTACGATCGTCAGATTCATCACGCGGAGTCCATTGACCAATATGTCTCAAAACTCAGCCGCACCTCGACAGAGTTCGGGGTTAGAGAGACCCCCGCATCTCCTGGGTAGTCTCGCCAAGGCTTTCGAATAGACATCGAAAAGGCCTGGATCAGCCAGCCTGCCTGAGCTGACCCAAGCAGCCAAAGTCGAGACCCATGAAAGGTACTTGAGCTCGGTAATATGAAATGTCGGCTTACTGCCAACGCTGTGGAGCCATGAATCGCTCAGGCCTACTGTAATTGACCTTCAATTGACTTTTCACACCTTTCGTTTTGGGTAAATGTGATGTCAATCGTCGCAAAGGGTAATATCATTACAAATGGCTGAAACCTAATTACAAAACAAGTATCTATAGCTCCGTCTAAAGAGCCTGTAGGGAGTGATCATGAAGTCCTCATCCATCAATGTTCGTGCATCTCGTTATATGCCATCGGTGCCTCTAAATGGTAGCCAACATGAAAAGTTGGTAACGGATATTAATGACAGTCGTGAAGGGAAAAGGCATGTGCCGCTAAACTCCAACTTTTAAGTGTAGATGATCCGGGGGCCAGCAACATCGGGGTTCCAGGAGACCACGTCGTTGTCGTAGACACCAACAAGCTCAAATCCCTCAGTTGTGCCGGAAGCCTTGCAGTCTGTCTTCTCGGTGAGGTAGGTGCTGTATGTGGCATCCCATGTGGCGAACGAGCCGAGGCTAGCACTGAGACGGCCGAGGTGGATGTTGCGCTGGTTTCCAGGACCCCAGCCGGAGGTAGGTCCGGGAGCTGGGCTGTTACTGGTGAAGAGATCGAGCTTCTTGCTGCCAGTGAGTGTGGCTCCATCGTCGAGATAGAAGGCAAACTGGCACTGCTTGCCCTCAGCCTCGGAGGGGTAGGTAAAAGTCAGGAGTGTGGTGATGTCGTTGCCATTGTTGCTGGTGGACTTGGAGACAAGACCCTCAGTTGCAGAGGAGATGGCACCGTTGCGGACATTGTATTGCCAGATGGCAGAGGGAGCGAAGAAAGGATCATCCCGAGCTGTGAGAGGAGCTGCCAGGCCGGAGGCGGCGGCGAAGACAGTAGCGACAAGAGTCTTGAAGAGCATCTTGAACTTGATGGAGAGGAAAGGATGAAAGGTAGAGATGTGTATTGAAGTGATTGCTGTGTTGGTTCTTGAGAGGTTGTTGTCTGAATAATGACTTTCTATCGAGGACCAAGGCCATCTCTTATACTTGACAATATTCTGGAAGAAGGATAATGTGCAACGAGACTCGGTATCCGACTCTTCCGTCTACCGTCGCCAAGACAGATTACGCCCATCTCTTCCAGGGTCAAAAATAGCGCTCGCGCAGCACATCCCTCGCATCACAAGAAAGGCGTTGAGCACAGCCAGAAACAGGCGGCTCCGCCATCAGCCATGGCAAGGTTGAGATCGCAATCGAAAGACGGGAAAAGGCGGGGAAACGTGATATCACCAAAAGGCGGCCAATAGAGATAAAGCGGCGTCGAGCTATTGACTTGAAGCCATCCGCCTAGGGACGGAGAACTCGAGCAAACGACGCTTGCCTGGAAATAGCAATGCCTGTTAAGCCACGTTCTAGGGAGCTACCTGTCCAAGCCGGAGTGTGGCATTGCCCGGATGCTACTGTAAAGACATCACGAGGCCTTGAAAGTGGCTTGCTTACTGCCGAAAGATGGCGGAACGTGCAGATATGCTTAACTCAAATGAGTCCTGTCGGGCGCCCATCTAGGAAAAGAGGACTTCAGCTGAAGGAATACAGCTACGTAATTGAATTCTTGGACTGTTGGTCCGTGGAAAATTGAAGAGCTCAGCAAGGCAAACGTCCAATGAGACGTGGTGTGAATAATGAGGGCTTCGGTGTCAGCCTCAGCCCGATCCTCGGTGGCGTACTTCGGGGACTATTGTGTTGCCATTTTGCGATTTTCTGCCTTGTCTCTCATTCAGCTGCAAGCCATCTTTCTTACGGTCAAGCGGAGTGTCTCTGCTCCCGCAAGTCCTATGAGGGGTTTATTGGAACTCGGCAAAACCAGACAGAGCCTAGAGCATTCTCATACTGTCATTTCAATTCAGTCAGGGAATCTAAGCGTCTCTCCAGTGTGCATTAAAGAAAGTTATTCGACCGACGAGGGTAGACACGACTACCAAGTTGAGGCATAGCAAGCAGGTAGGCTCTCAATGGTCAACTGCAAAATGACTGAATTTTGCCCTTGCCTCTTCACACTACCCGAGGCCCATTGTGGAAACGGCAAGGCTTTCTGTTCTACTTGGAAAGCTGAACAAGGCTGACAGCGCTTCGACTCTTCGTGCTAGACACATGTTACCGATTCTCTTTGTCATCAACGGCTATGTTCGCGAGATCATATCCCAAACCAAACTGCCAAGTCTAGCTTTTCTACTCGATTACGTGCCTTTTTTATGTTGAAGTCTTTGCCATCCTGTCTCATTCTCCTGGCGATGTCCAATATCACGACTTTGTCGGGCCTAGGTATTGGAGGCTTCATTCCAAGTCAGCAGCCGGAGGACTTCACCGTTATCATTGCAAGGGCATGGCCCACTGCAAGGCTCCAGTCTATGCTACTGGCTTACTATCTCATCGGTTGCAATTTAAGCAAGCTCCATTGTTTCGTAATAATTAAATTCGTTTTGTTCTCTTGTTATAGGTCTTGTTCAGTTTCGTTGTGTAATCTCTTTGTCGTGTTTCGACGTTGATCACTGTTCCTCTATTGCCCTTGGGCAGTCTTTTACTCCTACCTCTTGTCTGGGTAGACAAGAACATCCTTAACAAAGGATAGTAGATGCTACTTAACGCTGCAAGCTTCCCCAGCATAATCCAACAGTCATTGTTCCTACTCTGAATCCTCAACCTAACACATTACCCGACATCACAATCCAATCCACCATGTCGATCCCGGCTGACCAACGACTGCGCGTGCGCTTCGGTTCGTACACTGCGGCAGTGTTTGCATACAACACTGCAAATTCATGGATGGTTGTAGGAGCTACCATGGCAGTGCCGCTGCTTTGTGGTGGCAACTATGGCCTCTTCTGTGCAGTGATTGCTGCTGTCGTAATCATGGCCATTATTCACATGGGCTATATGGAGTTGGCCTCGGCCTTTCCTTCAGCAGGTGGTCAGTTCAGGGTCGTGTACAGGGTTTTCCCACGCTCATGTCGGTTTGCTTCCTTCTTGACTGGATATTTCACGATTTACTATTTCATGGCAGCCATTGCATCGTGTGGTTGGTTCATGGCGAAGATGGTTCTCCAGCTGATTAGTCTTTGGCACGCCGATTACGCCCCAAGCGTATGGCATGCCATGTTGATTCACCTCTTTCTGTGTGCACTTGCCTTGGTCTCTAGTACACGTTTCCCTACTTTCATCAGGTTTCTAGGTTCTTTCACCTTGGGATTGTCGTTATGTGGCTTTGTTGTTTCCCTGATTCTCGCTGGCTTGGGGCAACTGACCTGGTGGCAATCTGGCGGGTTCCGGAATACCAGCGGGTGGCCTGATGGATGGGCAATGATCATTGCCATTACCTCCAGTCTAGCAGCCTTCTCTGGTCTCGATTCTCCAGCTCATCTAGCAAGAGAAATCCGAGTTCCATGGTTCATGGTCCCCAATGCCATCGGTTATGCTGGATCCTTCTCTGCAGGGGCGGCCGTATCGTGGGCCATTGTTCTGGGCCTTGGTATCACGGACATTGATGCCGTTGCACAGGCCGAATTGCCTATCCTAGAAGTTTATAAACAGACTTCCGAGGCCGCGCCAAACCCCAAGGCTCTGGTAACCTTCTGGGCGCTCCTGTATCTTGTGGTGTTCTACAATATGCTCCTTAACCTCTTCATTTCTTCGGGTCGCGTCATTTGGTCCTTTGCCAAATGCGGCGGCCTCGAGACCTCGCATCTCACCAGGCTCGACCGGGGCAGTCCTCTCAGGGCCTCCGCCCTCATGTTCGGCCTACAGATCCCAGCTATCTTCCTATTTTGCATCCCAGGTTTCACTCATGCCTCCTTGGCTAACCTTGCAGTGTTCTTCCAGAACATCACGCTCGCTCTTCCACAAGCAGCGATATTCATTCTTGGGCGTGGGCGTCTAGCCACTAAGCGGTCGGGTTTCGGAAGTTATGGATACGCCATCAATGCTGCTTCTACTCTGCTTGTGGCCTTCTTTTCTGTCATTTTACTTTTCCCTACTTCTATGCCGGTTACAGGACGCACCATGAACTATATGGTTGTGGTTGTAGCCATTCTTGTTCTGCTAGTTCCACTTCGCTGGTCGCAGTTCGGGTTTAACGAGACTTTCAGTCCTCAGATTAAGGAGCAGGTAGAGGGAGAGGAATTAAAAGAGGATCCTGTCCAGCAAGAGACTCAGGAGGCGCAATCCGAAATGGTTTGAAGTCGGAACAGAAAGGTTGGCATCAGGCAGCTTATCTTCATTCTTGTATTATTTTAATTGAGTTTATTCATTCCAATTGAAACTGCCCTGTGAAATTCATCAATCGTGGGCCCCTCTGACAGTCTAGGCCCGCGAGTATAAGGTGTACCATAATTACCCTCTTGGAGTCACTTGTTCATTCACACCTCTTGTTGCGTCAAGCAGCGTTCGAAAGGGATTGGGTTCCCATGAACTGTCAAGCAAACACCAGAAGCGAGTAGAATTTGTCTCTCTCTTTGGAACTGCAATTAAGAGGGACATCCCTGCTGTTGTCACAAAGGGTTGGCAGTAGATGTTTCTACGCTTACCTCCGGGAGCCTCAGTCTTGATGATTCCATCAAGCATGAACGCAAGAAATTGCAGAGTTGTATGAGTTTCTAGCTATTATTTCGGTCATTCGATGCGCTCGTCTGATCACATTCTCTGCTTCTAACTCGGCGGGTTCTTTTTCTCTCTGATTTTCTAGATACTCTGACTTGAACACTGTTGAAACCTGCTGGTTCGCGTTGGAGGCTAGCTACATTGGCCAGTGCTACCTTGCAGTAAAGTGACGGTGATAATTCGGACATTCCTTTTCACGGAGTCATTCATTGCCAATCTAGGACGGAAGGTAACCAATGGTTGTGTGAACGGTTTCCTTTCCCCCGTTAACTCCATCCTCAGCCCAGTCTATCCAGCAAGACCGCCCGCACAAGTTACATGAGGCGCCCTTAACACAGAAGAAACCTGCACCAGTGATGCTTACGCTAACGATCCTTTAGAGCTATCACTTTCCCGGGCTAGATGAAATACATAGGTGCGTATTGCAAGGCTTGGGCCAACACGGCAAGATGACAGTCATGTTTTGCCATCAAGGTCCAGTGTCGATGTAGCTCTGGTGCTACCTTACCACGGTGAAACAGCAATCCCATTGATTTTTACCTCGATTAAGCCGTCTCTTGTCCGTTCGTATTCGCAAGACATCAAGGCGATGCCGAATACTGGGAGATTCGGGGCCAGGTACCTGACGCGTTGCATCTATGCTTACTCTGGTTAATGTTGCATCTCCAATGCCCATTCCTTGATTCCAATTTTAGTTAGACAAGAGACGCCCCAGCATTGATGATTGGGCTCAAGTTCCGACCCCGGAAACTATCGGCTGCATGATGCCCCGTTTGGGGAGATCAGAATCATCTCGCTAGTCGTTCTGGATTCTGGGCACCACAGCACATGTACCGCGCAAAGCCGAACCATGCAAGCTCACCGATTCGATTCTTCAAGTTGGGGAAACGATTTGATTGGCACATGTCAAGCTGGAAATGCACTCAGTGGGATAAGCAAAAGACAGACTGGAGGTCAACCTTCTTTGACACACACACCAACCCTCTGCTGAACAACGCCGATCAGCGAACAGAACAAGGTTTATTAATTACTTATGAACCCAAAGGAACTTTTGACCAAATAAAGGCAAAGCTTCCCACACACAGAACCCGAGTGTGCCCCGTACCCCTGAAGCTGAATCCGGGGTTAGCTCGGTGAGTCGAGATTGCTATGCCGAGAAACGTGGGGTAGCGCGGAGAGGCTTACGGCCATCCAGGTGAACACACCGAATCAAATCTTGAAGATCTTGCATCTGTACGGTGAGAATCGGCAGAGCTGTTGTGTTCCCCAGCCTTTGAGAGCATCTTTCATCTGATAACATGTCCCCAACAAAACCCGAGCTTAGCCGACCCAGCCACGGAACAGCGACTGTATCCCTGCCCGGTGAGACTAGGGTCACCTAGGTGAGTCAATCTGGCCCTGCCTAAACCGACGCAAGACGGCTTCGAGGTTAGCGTCGCCGCCCTCTCTGCCAACCAAGACAGGACGCGACCCCACAAGGTCAGCTTCCATTGGCAACGAATTTTGTGATTGTCGTTCTGAAGCAAGCCTCCCACACGGTTTGTTGGGGAACCTGGCGCTTGATATTATGCCGCCGGCGGGATCTGGCGGCGTCTTAGTCCGCTGTCACGTCCAAGGGGGCTGACACTGTCGAAACAGGGGAGGGAGAATCCGCCCACTTGACAGTTTCCAGAGAAACTTGCAGTCAGAAGTCGTGGCTATCACTGGAAATACTTAAGAGTCATAGTGCAAGGCATCTTTCTTCTCTCCTGCAACTCTGTAGTTATCGTCCGTGATCATCAACTTCAAAATGGCCGAAGTTCTGAGCGTCAGGGAGCAGCAGCGCTGCACCTGGGAATATTTCGCTGTTGACCTCGCAGCTGCTGCATTCGCATCTGCCCTGGTCACTCCCTGGGTGACTGCAATCGACAAGTGAGTGCTTCAATGCGTCTCTCGATCAATAAACGATGGAGATGCTGTGTCTTGCTGCACCTAGCCTTCCATCTCATCATTTCGAGGTTGTCTAACCTTGGTGTGAGCAGGATCGTCTTCAACAAGGCCACCACCGGTGCTTCTGTCATGTCCTCGGTCCGCAAGTGGACTTCCAAGCCCAAGGCAACCTTTGCCTCGCTCTTCATTCCCTTCCTCGTCTATTTCGGAACTTACGCTACCGCCAACCTCTTCGACTCGTTCAATGCAATCCAGCACGACCTCGATCCCTCCATTGTCTGCTCCACGCCCGCCAAGTTCGCCGCCACCACGACCGTCAGCTCTAGTCTATGCATCTTCAAAGATGCATACTTTTCTAGAATGGCCAGTGGTGCTCCTGTGCCTCTGCTGAGTTATGCCCTCTTCTCTCTCCGGGATGCTGTGACCATATACGCCTCGTTCAACCTACCGAACATGCTCGCTCCCAAGCTCGCCGAGTTTCCGTTCTCGTCCATCACGCCTTTTGCCGAGATCTTCAAGTCGGACGAGTCTAGGTTGAAGATGGCACAGTTGTTCATGCCGGCAGCGTCTCAGATCGTCAGCACCCCGATGCATCTTTTGGGCCTGGATCTCTGCGCTCGTCGATCCTGGATGCCAATTCGAGAACGTCTAAGCGTCATCAGACAGTACACTGGCTTTGCTGCGCCTCTTCGAATGATGCGCGCCTTGCCATCTTTCGGGATTGGCAGTGTGGCCAACACTGGGTTTAGGAAGTCCATGATGACACGGGTGATGTGACCTGTCCGGGCTGTTTGAGTCCTTGACTGAAAAGAGTTTCAACACGAACACTCCATAGCAGCCTCAACGCGGAGACAGACGAAAATAGATGACATTGAAAAAGCATGAGACCGATAGACAATAGACTGAGCAACTGATTTACCACAAGAGCCGCAGTGGACTCTCTAAAACTTCCTGGTGAAAATGAGGTGCACAGAAATCATGTGCATGCAATGGCAGCTCCTATGAAAACATGAGTCCATCCTTCGATCTCAGTAGCATTCTCTCCGTGTCTCCACAGCGCATTGAGGATGTCATTGCCCAAACCAGTGCGTAGTGGGTATCGTGATGGTGAAAGTGGACACGATGAAGTCGCCACGTGCTACCCCATTCCCCGGGGAAGACAAGGCCTGTCGGAATCCAGCCAGGCTCTCTTCGGGTACGTATTCAGAAAGCCTAGTCCCCAGGCATCATGTTCTTGCTTCCCAATCATAACACTGCCGTTGGTTCATTGCCTCCAGACGTGTGGTGAGAAAACAACGAACCGGAGGATACCGAGTACATTCCGTAGCCTCGGCTTCTGATCCCGAATGTGAACAATGTGAATCAAGTCTTTGTTGGCACTAACAATTATTGAATGCGGTTATGAGTCGACTAAATGCAGCCGTACATGCGTGGGTGGCATTGACGCGCCCCGATGATGCAGCTCGGAGGTACAGGGTGAGCCGTGGTACGAAGAGGCACGCAACCTTGACTCAACGTCAGAACTGGATAACGCAAACCTTTTTGTATTACATCCGGTTCCATGTGATGAGCTAATATTTTGGGTTTCCAAAGTTTGGTCAATGCATTGAAGTCTCATGACATTATCCATTAATATGCCGTCAGTGATGAGTTCGCGAAAATTCATCCAATGGCAGGTCACAGGAAACGCACCACCACCAGCTTCTTTGGTTGCACACACATCAACGGCTCCATTCATGATCGTTTGCATAGAACAGGTGTTGGACCCCGTTGTCTGCATAGAAACTGCATTGCAGGGCTTGCAGCCTGCCTGAGGCTGCCTCCCAACCCTGACCAGGGTGGTCACTGCACGCGGGCCTGCTTGACGATCCGGGGTATGTCTGTCAATGGCTTGCCTTTGATTGGCTTGCACAGCCTGTCAACTACATAGTAAGTTGCCTATCCTGTCCAGCCTGGTTTGACAGAAGCTCAATTTCAACGGTCAAGCCGTGACAACTACCGAGGCCGTTGCAGTACCAAAGTAGCGTCTCATTTTCGACCAAAAGGGCCAGATTTTCGCTCCCGATTCAACTGCCATTCTCCTTGAGCCGTACATCCGGATCATTGTTTCTAAGCAAGCAACTACGCGGCAAAGCCCTACTCTCACTGAATAACCTGGATGAGGTGTATCCCGAGTGGCGTACGGAGAGCAGCGAATCGTACGACTCAGAGGGCGGCAAAAAACCACGGCAATGCCCACCACTACGAGAGCTACTGATTAACTTGGAGAAACAAAGACCCGTCGGTACTGAGCATCGGGTAAGAGTATTTCCCCCGCCTGGCAGTTCGGTTCGGTTCAACGACCCCAGCTTCTCACACCAATCATGTCTCGCCGTTTGCCATTTCTGGGGAGGCTACTGGGCCGCCGTTACCTAGCCGACTCCAACTGCCGCCAATGGTTACGGCCCCGCTGAAGCCGGCTACCATCACGGCAAAGTATTCCCAACCCTAAGCCAATTACAAGACTGACCTGCACCTTTACGCTAAGCCTGATCCTAACTTCTCCATAACTCCATCTCTTATCGATCCCTATCCATTGGACAAACTCTTTCAAGTGGGGTCAGCTGACATGGATGGCTGGAGCACGCACTCCACGGCTTCCCCCAGTTCCCGGGAGCTTCCTGATGACGATATATACAACGGCATGACCCTCTCGATTTTGGACTCTTGCAACTCATCCAACGGTCACAGATCTCAGAAGATACTAGACTACACTTCACAATGACTCCCGCTCCCAACGGTACAAACGGCACTGCCACCAATGACACAAACGGCCACGCCAATGGCACCAATGGTGCTTCCGCCTCCTCCTCCAAGTTTGACCCCAACTTCACACAACATGTCATCGACCTCATGAGCCCCGAGACCTTGCCCAGACACCGCGAGATTCTCACCTCTCTGATCAAGCACATGCACGACTTTTGCAGAGACGTCGAGCTTAAGCAGGACGAGTGGATCCTCGGTGTCAACTACATCAACTCTCTCGGCCAGGCTTACAGGAAGAACCGCAACGAGACGTGGCGAGTGTGCGATATCCTGGGTATTGAATCGTGAGTAAACACTCTCTCCACTATATGACCACAGCCACTAACAGTCTCAGCCTCGTTGATGAGATCAACCACAAGGTCGAGACTGCGGATGGTCGCGCTCCCACATCGTCCGCTATCCTTGGTCCTTTCTGGTCTCCTGAGACCCCCTTCCGTGACCTCGGTGCCAGTGTAGTCCAGGACATGCCCAAGGATGGTCAGCTCACCTTCTTCCATGGTGTCATCCGTGATGTCGATACTGGTAAGGGCATTCCCAACGCCGTCTTCGACATGTGGCAAGCCAGCACCAACGGCAAGTACGACGCCCACGACCCTGAGAACCAGTCCCGTCACAACCTCCGTGGCAAGTTCCGCACCAACGAGGAGGGCAAGTTCTGGTTCTACTGCCTCAAGCCCACCGAGTACGCCATCGACACCTCTGGTCCCTCCGCCGAGCTGCTCAAGATTATGGGACGTCACCCTTACCGCCCTGCTCACATCCACATGATGGTCACACACGACGACTACATCGGTGTCACCGCTCAGCTGTACCCCAGCGACGACCCTTATCTCGAGACCGACACTGCCTGCGCTGTCAAGGATGATCTGCTCCTCAACTTCACGCCCGTCGAGAACGAGCCCAACGGCGCTGTCCTTGACGTTGAGTACAACATCCGCTTGGCCTCCAAGAAGTACAAGCCCGACTCCACCATGTTGATGCAGAATGCGGATCAAGACAAGTTTTAAAAAATGAAAATCACGACCCATGGGATGACTAGAAGTGTTGGATTACGATATAGCTCCATGCATGTACATAGCGTTGCGAATGAGGGCACATACCAGCGTTGAGGCAGGGAGACCTCTACGAACAGTGTAGCAATGAATTTAGCGGTTTATGATCAAACTCGGCAGTGCGATATGTGACTAGTCAGGCCCAGTTGCCGACATCTAATGGGCCAGGGGGGGGCTGTTCCCAGTGACATATCTGCGTGGTTTCCTACACTTCTAGTTTGGATTTAAATTTGGAATATCGAGTAACCACAGGGAGTTTTGCATCACTACAATGCTGGCATAGTGTCGGCGAATCAGGTGTTTGGATCGAGTTTGCGAATGTCGACGATTTCCTCCCCTACTAGGTTCAGACGTCAAAGAAATGATACTTCGAGATCGAGGCAGATTCGACATCTTGGGCACAAGGTTTCGATTGCGACATAGCGTCCGGATAGTATGAAAACAAAGAAAGCCATAGCTATATCCAGTCAGTTCTACTAACACATACAACACATTCTTCCCAAAGCCGCAATGCGGCCTAAGTGGTATTATAACCCTCCCCCCAACGGCCAGACATAGAGAGAGGCTAGTCTGCAAGTCATATTTATATGTTTTATTTCAGATGTAACCCCGAGTTACCATCGCTAAGCCATATTCTAAATAGATTCTTGGTGGAATCTATATTCGTCAGAACTCCGCTCAGGTCTTTAAAAATGATCCCTTTGTCGTTGTTTTTTAGAGTCCATGTGCACAAATCAGGACGAATATTAAAAGGAAGCCATGGCCCAGAAGTCGGTTCTAGAGACTTGATGCACACATTCGTGTAAGAATTAGTTGTCCAACTATGGTTTAAGAATACTAGGAAACTATTGACCATTGAAAAATAATTCAACCTCATAGCATACCCGGAGGGCAGATCAAGGCAATCCAGTCAAATAAATACAGTTTTACAGTCAAGCCATCATGCCCATGGCAATAGCACACCTCAGGACCACAATTGTTAATTGCATGAGAATTATTGTTAGATAGGGAAGAGTTGAATTCTCTTGCTAGGAGACATTGATTGGTATGTTCATATGTGTCTTGGCAATCCAATAATAGTACACCATCTCGTCTTATCCCCTCGGAAGTTCAAATGCAACTCTTTGCTACTTTCAACTTGAACTGGGAGCTCAGCAGTCTGTCTCAGCCTACAGAATTAGCAGAGGTTTTCCCGTTGCAACATTCTATAGTCACTAATTGCAACAAGACAATGCCATCAAAGGCAATATTCGTCGATGAAAATCATCACATCCTCATTATCATCTCGCTACGCTATCTATCATCGCTACATATACATATGCATTTATTCCTCCACGTGCTTAATGCCGTTGTGAGTAAGAACGGGCTCATCACGGTCCAGGTCGTACATCTTGTCCTCATCCTGGTCGTAGTGGCGGAAGATGATGTAGAAGACGATTCCAGTGACGAACGAAGAGCAACCGACACCAGTGTACATCCAGAGGTACTTGGGGTTGACGGCGACGGAAACCAGGGCCTCGGAGATGGCAGCACCGAAGGCGTTGGTGAAGAGGTACAGAGACTGCACAAAAGACTTCATGGTGGGGGGAGCCTTGGTGTAAGCATACTCGAGACCGGTAACAGAGATGAAAATCTCGGAGATACCAATAAAGATGTAGGCAGGAGTCTGAATAGCGATGTGGACGTTGTTGGGCAGCTCAGTGTCGCCGTCCTGTCCAGCAGGACACTGTCCGGGGTACTCGTAGCAGGGTCCAGCGCTGTAAATGAGATGCTGGACGATGGCAGCGTAGGCGAGGCACAGAGCGGCAAACCAGAAACCAATGGTAATTCGCATAATGGGCTTGAGTTCGATACCAGCCTTTCGAAGGATGGGGTAAACGACCTTGTCGAGGATGGGGGTGAAGACCAAGATGG